GCAAGTTCTTTGATAAAGAGTTTTTATGACAAAGTAGCCTTGCGATGTGAAATTCCGGTAATGCTGTAAAAAAATTACCCACAAGTGGACAGTTCCTGAAGGATGGTGTAAATATCTATCTCGCTCAAGGTACTGATTTCGTGTTGTGCTGTGTCCCCTTTGATATGCGATCATCTGTACACAGTGTGGGTTTTATATCATGGTGGGAGTTCTTACTGCCGTACGCTACTGTATAAAGTGAAAGCCCATCGTTGTGCTGAGCCTGGAAGATAACGCGAGTGTCAATTGACCGACGTGTGAGTGGTGACGATTGAAGACTGAGGTGCCGGTGGGAAATAAGCATTTGTATCGAGATTTGCGCAAAAAACACTCGGCCCCAGAAACGTTGAGCTATGCGTGCCGATCATCGCACTGCTCTGTTCAAGGGGAGCGCAAATTTCCAATGCGTGGCACCTCGAGGCCATTTCGTCAGTAAGCGCTGGGACGAGGCAGCAGCTATTCTCTGGGACTTCACAACTCAAATATCAATTCGTTCCGTGGGGGGCAAACGCAGAGTGCTCGCACACACACACACGCGCACACGAGAGCAGTCTTGGAGAGAGACTGCCTCGTGGGAGCGTCGTGAAGATGGACTCCTGGCAACCCCCAAAAATGGGTCTGCGTGTGGTCACAGCTAGAAAATAGTTTGTGGTAAATGAGTGTGCACAACACACACAGGGGCAGCAATGCCTTATCTATTGAGGAATGTAATACCTCACGGGAAGAGCGTGGACGGGTGTGAGGCTGTGGTGAGTTGGTAGCAGAGGGAGGCTGCTAGTGGCAAGCCATTGACAACCACCACATCGACCACGCAGATCTCCGGTAAAGTCACGTGACTTTACCGAAAGAACCAAGAAGATGAATCCCTGCAGTCACGAAAGCTTTAAATAGAAATATATATAAAGTATTTGTGTTGAGATCAGAGCTTTTATTGCCATGGTAAATATTCTGGTGGGTAAATGGGCAAAATAATCTTAGAAATTCAATGCATTTGTTAACGAACAGCTTTCTGCAATAAATTAGTTATTGTAAAGTCACGTAGAAAAAAAAAGACTTTTCATTATTTTATTATTTCTCTTCTACGTGACTTTACCGAAAGAACCAAGAAGATGAATCCCTGCAGTCACGAAAGCTTTAAATCGAAATGTAGTTATTGTAGTTGCATAGCTTTCAACTGAGGAAGAATTATAAAGTAAACATTATGTAGTTAAAATGTATATAACATAAATCGCTGGAGAAAGTGTTCAGGGTTTTTTTTGGGAAAAAAGTTGATTGTGCAACATGGATCACGATGGAGGTGGTTATTAAGGCAGCAGATATAGCTACTCCAGGCAGCAATAGATGCCGACCACTCACTTGTTTTCCATGATTAGAATTGTAATTACGATTGCCCTGGTGAGAGTTTTTTAGTACCCACTTAAAGGCCTTCATAAATTCTTCACTTTTCCTCAGACGTAACACGATATGTATATGGCTTTTTTCTTAACTCACAAAATTTCGCCCACATAATGTGAAGATTTAGGTCGAGAAAAAAAAATACCTGCAGTATTTGCACGCATTTCAGTTTCGGAATACGAAACAGTGAAAAAAAAACATGTACTGTCATCACCATCCGCTGATCACACAGGTGCTTTATAATAACATACGCTGAGGTCCTGATAGTAATTTCTGCCTAAAAAAAATAAATGATAAAATCAAACTGTGGCATCTGCGTTTGGATGAACGGAGCCATAAAAGTCTCCGTGTAAAAGTCCCCGAGCCGTTGTCGTAACTCGCTTTCAGTCCTTCGAGTGGCTTTCTCGGATTCCATTCCGTGCACGTGGTGGACCTGCAAGCCTCCACCTACCTGCAATTAGCCTGCGGTTTTTTGCTTGGCCAGACATTTTTTTTCCCCTCTCTTATTTTTTATTTCTTTCGCTGTGCAAAGGCGTACCAATAAAGGCCCTTTGGCAGACACCATTCCAAACGCAGCATGCAGTTCTCCACACCTGACACTCTCTCCCCACCCGCGACAATTTACGTGTCCCAGCATGTCGAACATTATTCTCCTCTTGATATACTTTTATTTTACTTATCGAAGCGTTATGTTATATAAGCCTGCGCTAACCTAAGCCCGACCATATAGTGCACAGCGTACGAGCATGTAATATATACTGTAAAAGCAATACAATACATTTAATTTTCGATTTAAAGCTTTCGTGACTGCAGGGATTCATATTCTTGGTTCTTTCGGTAAAGTCACGTAGAAGGGAAATAATAAAAATATAAAAAAACAACTTAATAATTTTATTGTATTATGTTTTATTTGTATTATTTTATTATTTCCCTTCTACGTGACTTTACCGAAAGAACCAAGAATATGAATACATTTAATTTTAAAGGTGTGACTTGAAACATAAATGTGGTAGCAATAAAGTTAACAACCCTACCATTAGAAATAAAGATTTTTTTTATTTTAGACGAGCTCGGTGAAATTAATTTTGAGAATAACTCGTCTCTCTCCATGTTCAAGCAAATGCCACTTGCATCTTGCAGCAGCGGCAGCAGCACAAAGAGGATGTCCCAACCTGACTGCCTCATCCGTTGCTTCTGTTTGGTTTTTCCATTGGTGAACTCCTGAAGCGACAGCGTTTGCACGTTCCGTGCACGCTTTCTCATCAACATTCTTGGGGTCCCCCCCCCCCATCTTCCCTGGCGGAGGGTTATTTTCTTTCCAAATTCAGAAATTTTCAATTTCTCGTAGACCTGGCGGCACCCTGCCTAAGTTGGATAGCAGGATCAATGTGGAGCAACCTCTGGAAACGGAAAGCTCGTTCGGCTTCCCTGCATTTGTGCTTTTTGCCGCTGCAGAAATGAGCGTGGCTGACTTTCTCCCCCACCCCTCACTCACCTCCCCCCACCTCCACATCTTCCACCGTGCCTAATGCTGTTTCAAATCGGCTGCCTGCACAAACTCTGTTGTACACGAGAAATGTGATGTGCTATGGACAGTATACAGCATTCAGTGTTTCTCTCCCCTATCGAGCAGTGCCAAGGCCTGCTGGCAAAGCCTATGGCTTGAAAGACACAAAATGAGGCATCCCAACTGAACAAGTCTTTATTACAAGGCTCAGCAAGCAGCCTTAAAGGAGCTGACATTTATTAAAGCACCACTTTGTAGCACTTTGTGCCAAGCCAATTATGCTTCTTGTTTGAGAAAAATAATCTAGCAGAGCACGAGGAAATACAGGAAAAAGGTCAAAACAATGTATCCTTCACTGTGTGTGGTACATAAGGTATGACCCATATATGGATGCAATTAATTGCACATTTAAATGGTGATTTTGGCTCGATATTTAATTTGTTGTGTTACTGTTTTCTGAGCTAACTAAACTAACCTCCGAGCCACTCTCTTCTGCATGGTGGTCCTCAGGCAATGTACTAAATCATACATTATCGTTAGGACCGTATAATAATTATTTGTTAAAGAGCTGACTGCTCTAATTATTAGGGTATACGCTGACCGTTGTGAACATTGTACTATTTAGTGATTGTGATTCTCTATATGAATCTACATTGCTCAGAATTATAGTGGGAAACCAGAAATGTACAGGGTGCCCAGGAAGATATCATTACTTTATTATAGGATTATAATTAGGCAGCAGTTTGAGCAAGGTCGATAAACCCTCGGTGGGATGAAGATGTGATCTTATGAATCTCATCCCTCTAAATCCGCTACTGGCGACACACGTTGCGATGAGAATTAAGAGGGCACTCGGGTGTTGGCAACATCTAAGGTGGGGATTGTTTCAATGGCTTCTGTTATTTGCTGTTGAAACACCACCTGCTCAAACGTTCAGGCGTTGCAAAGACTAGTTTGCCAACCTTTCAATCACACAGTTAAAGCTGCTAATTGTAATTCTTGAACAATGACTGCTTGTGTTGCAGTTATTGCAAACATGATGCCTTGTATAAAGGTGTCAGTTTTGTACCAGTTTAAAGGGTAAAAACCTACTACTATATTTTGCCACTGGTAAAGGAGGTCTCAGTGTAAATGCTTACCCCGAGCTTTCAATACTCTGATAGTGCACGGTTTTTGAGTTGTACGCCTTTTGGCGTTATCTGGTCCAACACCAATGGAGACTAGGCTCTAAGGAAAGCTGTCTCGGGTGTGGACCAATCAACTTCAAGGACAGTGCATATCATTACCATTATCAGAGTTGTTTCTTTTTGTTTGCATTTTGACTGCTTGTGTTGCAGTTATTGCAAACAATGATGCCTTGTATAAAGGTGTCAGTTTTGTACCAGTTTAAAGGGTAAAAACCTACTACAATGAATGATACCGTTTATGGTGGATGCTGGCATGGAGTTTCACGATTAGCAATGCTGGCCCTCCAGTGGCCGCCGGTGTGATTCTCTCTCATGGCACGGACATTGCAACAATGGTGCGGGTCTCTTAAATCCCGCGCGCCTGTGTCCACGCAGCGGTACAAATGGGTTTGCCGCAGATAGTCGAATGGCAGGTCGTGTGTGGTGGGGAAAACGAAAATATTTTATTTATTATTTTACCAAGTAAGGCCCACTATACGATGTAGATCTTTTTCAGAAGTGGGTATGGCCACAACTGATAGCTCAACGAAGTGGCTTATCACGTGGACATTGTGTAGCAGCCAAAGACTCTAAACGCACGTTTCTAATTGTGGAGTGAAACACCGGGGGATCTGTAGAAAAATGTACGCGACCACGGGGAGAACATGCAAACTCGGGATCGAACCCACGACCTCCTGAATATAGCGGACGAGGTAGCTAACATCTCGCCAAGACAACTGGCCGGCAAGGACGAGGAGACCAATTACCACCCTTGAGAGCTGCCTTCTAGCTTTGGCTTTAGCGGAGGCCCTTCAGCCAGCAGTGCCGTGAGCAGCGCTCTGCTGTTACCTTCACATTATGTAACGAAATTTTTCTTTCTCAACCTTGCCCAGAATGCGGCACGGGCTACTTCAAGGTGTCGGCGGGCGAGGAAAACTGCACGCCGTGTCCCGACCACAGCTACACGACGAGCGAGACGTCCACGGAGTGCGTCTGCGAGAGCGACTTCTACCGCGCCGAGGGCGACGGCCCCGCGTCCCCCTGCACACGTACGTGAGCCCCGAGTCGTGCCGCGTGTTGTTGGGCGCGACGTCCGACGTTTCGCGCCGCTTCCCTCCTGCACGCGTACATGAGCCCCGAGGAGAGCCCCCCCACGGCCCTGCCGCTCGCTTCCCGAGTTGTTGCCGCGTGTTGTTGGGCACGATGTCCAACGTTTCGCCCCGGGTGCTGGGAGCGTCTTCAGAAACTGACCGACGTTCAAGTCGGTGCGGTTCAGTTCCTGGAGAAGTTCCCAGCGTGTGGGGTGAAAGGTCAGACGTTACGCCGCCGCCGCCGACCGAAACGTGTGGACTCTGTGCCGAACCACACGCGGCACAACCCACGAAGAAAACACGCGTGAGCGCCGTACGGCACCACCGCGGTAACCTACGCAGCGGTCAATCCGCCCCCACCGCCGCCGCACCAGCCGTAGCCCGGGGCCAGCGTACCCTCGGTGGGGACAGTGGCGGCGGCGTTTAAAGCGACCGCACGCGCCGCGCAATACGACACCATCACCTCCTCCTCCTCCTCCCCCTTCCGACTCGGCTCCCGAGCCCCGTGGGTCAAAATGTGCCGCATGGCGATGGGTTTGCCGTCACCAAATCCGCGGCTCTCAGAAGCTACAGCTGCCCCGGGAGGGGGGTGATGAATGATGCATTTGTGTTTCCACCGGCGTCGCACTCGCGCCGAGCTGTGAAGGTGAACGTGGGGTGACGGTGTGTGCAACGCGCCAGTCTTAAGAGGGTCGCAGTGCTGCAGGTTTCACGGACGACTCGTTAGCAGGTGAAACATGTATGGGCTCAATTAAGGGTTCGATCAACTAAATTGAGAGCACAGTTGAAATAAAAAAAACACTTAGGATGTTAAGGTTTAAAGTGACAAGTAAGAGCAGGCAGATCTTTGATGCGAGCAGGATTTAGCAACTGGATGTAAAACTGGCCTAAAGGCTTTAAAGTACCGCAATACGTAATGCATGTTTAATCGGCGTGCAACAAAAATAGATGCTTACAAACATCATCCTGTTTCAAAGCCTCTTGATTGCTCATTAGATAGCACCTGCAGCCACCGTTCGTTGAGTCTCGCTCACTCATTGCTGCCTTCCAGATGCCAAGTAACCAGGCAAGCAAGCAATCACAAACAACTACGTACAGTTCTGTGAGAAGGTTCGAAATTGCCCAATGCTGAATAGAAAAAAAAAGTGAGAATATAGGTACGGCTCATTGTGTATCATAAAATACAGTTTTGATGCACCAAGCTGAAAGCAAAGCAATCTCAGAGTTTCAGTGCAAGTTAAATTAACCTCATATGCCACCAAAAGCATTCTTTAAAGCGGTTGCATGCGCAGTGTGTATACACAGCAGTGTGCAAACGAGCTTGAGTAAATCGTTGTAGTGTTGGTGTTGAAAGAAACCAGTGGACTTGTTGATGGGCAAATTACAATAAATTTTACAAACACGTGTTTTTGACTAAAGCGTGGGGAGGGGCAGAATCCATAACTCAAAGCCTGCAAAGCTGTTTTTCCCCCCTTCAAACAATGTCATTACTGCAGCACACTGAGCAGGCATGAGCAGCGCACAAGCCAGGAGAAGTGCGCTTTAGCCACACGTAATTTAACACCGCTGCTGGATTTATGCAGGAATCCCCAGCGCTTGACCCCAAATCTATCACGTTTCTGAAATAATTTGTGTTTCTCATTAAATATTCAGCGCGGTGCCAACAGGGCACAAGCCAACGTCTGCCCCCTCCACGCAACAACAAAAAACCTGCTAATTGAGCCGGCTCCCCGCCACCCCTCAATCAAATCCAAGGCAGGGCTCAGCTGCTGTGGATTTTTAACCTTGGTAGACCCCGAATGGCTTTTTATTTCTGGATGGCATTACCTCCCCTCCCCTCCCCTCTTCTTTCCATCTTTTTGCATTTGTTTCAAAACGGTTCGTCGCCCAATTCCCGAATTAATTGCCGAATTCTTGCTGACGGAGCAGGCGGGATTTTCTGGTCAAGGGTTTCCAACTGGGAAAACAAAAAACCCCACCGCACCGGGGGCAATAAATATCACGCTGTTTCCACACACGGCCACAAAGCCCGAGGTTGTAGGGTGGGCTGCTGCGGCCCAGGCAGGTGTCAATGCGATTACGTTTCTGTTTCGCAGCGGTCCGCTTACGTAATCCATAGCAGACTTGTGTAGCACACTGCGTCACGACTCAGTTGCCCGCTTGTCTGTGAGTGTTGTACGACGTTATCTCTTTGCAAGTGATCAGTTTCAGCATCATGCATGATTCTCGACGGAAATTTTATCCAACGCTCAAATTAGATCATATATTTTGGGGGGCGGCGGGGGGGGGGGTATTGATACATTTTCCACATTTTTGACTCGGTACAATGCGACTGTAAATATCTGCCGAGCCGTGACTCGATTTACAGTTCCTCTGACAGTTTTGGAACTTTTAAATCCTTTTCTAATCTGGCAGACACAGTCCCAGGCTACATGCAACGCGCACTGTGGATTGCTTCACCTTGTTGGGTGGATCTGCACATTGGAGAGCACGTGTCAGCCTGCCTGTAAATCAAGTCAGAGCAGTTTGTACATTTTTAGGCTCAACATATGGCAATACCAAGGTATACCAAGGCATTGCCTCTGAAGGAAAGGCGATATCCGTGACACTGACAGGAGGAACATTGCTGTACTGTATTACCAGTATCACAGTCTGGTATTACACTGCCTGTATTGCACAGCATGAAGGTGTTTGCTTAACTAAAGTATATTACTGTTGATATACCTATTCATATTCTTAGTTCTATCGGTAAAGTCACATAGATAGAATAACAAATGAAAAAACCCACGACTTTTCTTTTTATTTTAATTTATTTTCTATCTACGTGACTTTACCGAAAGAACCAAGAATATGATTTCCTGCAGTCACGAAAGTTTTAAGTCAAAATTCAAATACCTCTTTGTGGTTGTCCTTGGAAGGACAGGCTCTTGCCATGGGAATGTGTAATTTTCACTGGCTTAAGGCTACACTGGGACAATTTTAGAACAATATCCGCCAGAAATTGTCATAGGAAATTCATTTACTCGGAGTGAATTCTGAAACTTGGTACGGCGATGCCATCGAGCGATGGAGTTCCGTCTTGTTTGTTGATAATCGTGTTTGGAGAACAGTCATTGGTCTGTGGAACACACAACCTTCGATGGTCACGTGACCTATTTCTGTGATCTCATTGGAAGTTGCTATTACATATTTGTCAAAGGGCAACTATTGTCGTGTTTTTTACAATTGCCATTTGAAGATTTTGGGCCACATACCAACATCTTCATATGGCTGAGAGGCGCAGGTCACACATGAGCAGGTCACGTGAGGTGATCTTGCAGCCGGTTCGCTGGTGAGGTGTTGAATTAAAAAAAAATCTGCGGCAGTGCCCCTGGAGTACTCGTATGTGGCTCTGCTGCCAGAGGCGACTGCCCCGAGTCATTCCTGCTTCCGCGCATTTTTCCCCTTTCAGGTAAAGTTCTATTGAGAAGTTAAGATATTGCTACGTCGCTATCGAGCCACACTTCTAACTGCCCGGGAGCCTGCATGTGACCCACGGGCCGTGGTTCGGCCACCTCATTGTCTTAGTGAATCGTGGCCTTCCGGGTCAACAGGTGGAGAACAGCATCTCGCTTCCTTATCTGTCAGTGGAGGGGGCTCCGACTTGACTTCGACTCGGAAAATTCTTATGCTTCCTTGTATGACCGCCTTCAGGCCCCCCGTCGGCGGCGCGCAACGTGATCTCGAGCGTGAACGAGACGTCGGTGATTCTGGAGTGGAGCCCTCCCCTGGACAGCGGTGGCCGCGGCGACGTGAGCTACCGCCTCGTGTGCCAGACGTGCGGCGGGGGCAGGGACGCCGCCGCCGCGACGGCGTCAACGACAGCGGCGGCGGCGACGACAGGGGCGGCTGCGTCGCCGCCGTGCGCTCCGTGCGGGGACAGCGTGCGCTTCCTGCCGCGGCGCGAGGGCCTCGCGGTGCCCGGCGTCACCATCGCGCACCTGCTGGCGCACACCAACTACACCTTCCGCATCGAGGCGCTCAACGGGGTCTCGCGGCTCAGCCCCGCGCCGCCCAAAGCCGTGTCCGTGTCGCTCACCACCAACCAGGCCGGTGAGTTTCACCGCGTCCGTGCCGTCATAGGCAGCAGCGGTGGCCAACCAGCCCGCAGAGGCCACCCCACTCAGGCACTCGCTTGTGTAATTGATCCCGGGTTGTTATTGGAGAAAGAGCGCGGGTTAGCTGTGAAGTGGATCCTAAACAGTGGGGTGGATATCAAGTGTACAGGTGGTGCAATTGCACCGTGGCCCACAGGCAGGAGGGGCCTGGGCACCGGGCTACATGCAGGGAACCCCACTGGCCCCACCCACATTAATTCCCTGCACCGGGCCCATGCCAACCACACAATACCGCTAAGACTCAAGCCTCTGTTATACATTTCACGTGACCTCTGAGTCACTGTGCACACCGACTTTATGAGTCCATTAGATATTTTAAGGCTGCCACTGAAAGTGTTTTACAGCAGGCTTTTAAATAAAGCATTTATTTGATGCTGAGTGTATTTTAATAGAATACTGCTCATATGTCATTTCAAAACTTTTCCTATGGCAACTTGCAATTGCCTAGTTTTCTCAGGGCTGCACAGTGTAAAATACAATCTCCATCTATAAAGTCAGGACATCCAATCTGGATTTTTCTGGTCTAGCTCTCTCTGCCCTGAAGAATGGCCAATGCTTGATATGTCAGCCGATAATATGTACTATTCGGCAGCATTAATGATAAATGTTGTATTGTTTTATTTGTTAGTTCTTAATAACAGGCCTTGTGCTTTCTAAGTTGGTTGTCCTATGGAAAGACTTGCCCCTTTTATAGCAAGATGCAATGCAACCGCTGGATCAGAGTCCTCGATGGAGATGAGCACTGCCCTATGATCCTTTGAGCAGGGAGACAGACCCTTGCCTTTGACCTCTGAGCATTATATTTTGTATCTGTAAAGCAACTCAATAGAATGGTATTTCCTGGTGCTGTGCTATAGACGGTCATGTTATTGGGTGCAGAGACACAAGGAGAAAGCAAAACTCAACAAAAACAATTCAGGTCTTTCCAAAAATCAATATAGTTTCTTCTAGCACAAATGGGCAAGTTTTACAAGATATTTTAATGCAGAACTGTCGTGGGCAATGATGACATCTCTCCAGTAAAGTATGAATGCAGTTTTGCTGTCCACCCAATATAATATTGCCAATATAATTAGAAATTATGAATGGCTTGACTTTGAGATAACTTTGTCTTTAGTTGTCACTTGGGAATCCCATTTTCAAAGATGAAATCATTAAAGTAAGGGTCCAGTGGGATAATTCTCAACGAGAAATACAATTTAATGGACTCTTTCATTTTATATTCGGCGCTTTGATCCTTCTTAACAATGCGTTCCAGGGTATTTACAAATACTGTAAAAAAAAATATTTTTTCATATTTTTTCAACCCTTGCCTTGGAGATAAAGTCAACTGATATGCATTTATTGTTAGCATACACAGGGAACAAAAACAAAGGGGGGGGGTGGTGTCCAGTGTCAGGAACACTTTGCGGATATTCTGTCGCTGCTATGGTTTGCAACCTTCGTCAAAAATACTGCGCACCACCGTGAGTGGTGCGGTTTGAACCTGATACCAACAGAGGCTTTCGGGGATGAATTGGCACCGCAACGTTTGTGCATTTCTCAATTGTTGCATGGAATACATCAATTGATGTATTTTCCCGGGCAGAATATTTGTTTAAAATTCAGCGACGTTACATAACGCTGTCCAGCCTTTTTCCATTTTTCCATTCACCGACTGCGGCGTTGATAACGGTATCAGATGGAGCCGTGCATACATTTGCATACACCTGTCAGGGGCGTATGAATGATGTATTGGTAACAATTCATTCTGAAGTGAAGAGGGTTATTAAAACAAAACAATGATACATCACAAATATCATTCAAGGTCAAGTTTCCATGGTGTTGTCATTTGCAGAATTTGCCAGGATGTAATTGTATGTGCCGTTGTCTCGTTGCCGTCATTCGAGTTATGCTTGCAACAAGTGGAAAAAAGGCAAATTTCAAGTATACTGGAATAGCTAATTTATTTATAATACATTCAAGACACTTTTGTGGTAATGAAAACTGGACAAGTCTACGCCAGATGTAGACTGGACTTTGTGCTCTGTAAATGAGAGATTTTGTCCATTTGATGCCCCAGTGTTTAATCAATAGTTGCTGCTAATGGCCATGAAAATGATTGTAATTATGGCCATTTAAACGTTGCCTAAACACACCCGCATGCTAACGCGCTTGCGCCCGTTCACACACAAATACGTAATGCATTGACCACGCCTAAGATATGAATGCAGCAGCCTCCTTTGAAAACTCGTCGAGTTTCCCCTTTAGTTAACAGCACACTGTAATTTATAGCAACCTGAATAATATGATATTCTTGAAACACCACCACCACCCCCCCCCACAGCTTGATAAAATGGCAAAACTCAATGGGTGTTGTGAAAAATGTGGTTAGTCATTATATATAAAAAGAAGAAGATATTCTGTGAAACATATTGTGAGAGCTGGGTGGGAGCGGGGGGGTGGTGGGGGCGGCTGTCACTAAATCCTCTTGAACTGTTCACTTGGTTAGCAACCAAGTTTATGACTGTCACCACAGTGGCCTGGACGCATGACACAAAAGACGGTGTTAACTATTGATTCCTTTTCATCCGAATCCATTTTGCGCGACGCCGCGCAGTGTTGCGTTTCAGCCTCTCTGGCCGACCGCGTGGAGAGAAAAAAGAGGGCCCGAGTGTGGCAGGTGTTCATCGGCAGTGACTGCGGGAGGGCGCCGCATTGAGAAATGCTAAATTATGGTCACATGATCCGTCCAATTTCTGTTTGATGAATGATGGAGACCGAGTGATTAAGGCAGTGGCCAACCTCTTAGCTCTGGTCAATAAAAGGGAGGAATTTCACCTGGGGCTGGACAGCAAGGTGACACCTCATTAAACCTCTCCCGCCTGCCCGCTTTACACAATGAGTGGGATGCTCCCACCTGCGTTACCTGATTCCATGAATAATGCGTGAATCAGCGGTCCATTATAATGCTCCATTTTCCCATCACGGCATAATGATACCTATACAATCATCATTCCGTATTCGCTGTAAGTCGAGCATCTATAAATCAAGTCGCACTAGGGCAGAAAGCAGAGGGGGGGGGGGTGGGGGGGGAGTTCCATATTTCTTGAATCATAGATCGGGCCATTGTTTATCATTTGTTTTAAGCGCATTGCTGCCTTTAAGAAGTCATAGCTTTTTACAGACAGGATGACCATTGTGCATGAATGTAAGATCTCCCTGCATGGCGTACAAGCTAACAGTGCCCCAGAGAGATGTTTGCGACCTCGACCTCGAATCGAAAATAAATAAGACCACTATTCCCTGAGCTTTATGTCGCCTGTTTATGGGCATTGGTCATGTAGTACACGAGCCCCTTCTGCCAGTGCCATTCCCCAGTGCACTCGAGTATTTAAGCAAAAATACTGATAAACCAGGGTCAATAAGATTAAACTTCATACATGTCACTTATCTTTAGATACCCTGACATCGGTATGTAAACATATTACATGGCGCTGTAAAGGCAGCCTGGGAGGATATGCTGTTGAAAGCTGAGCGGTGGAGGAATAATGGCAAGTCCCAAGGTTTTTCCCAATTGAAAACTCCCGACGCTGGCTTTGGTGTACGGTGGGAACAGCATTGAGGGCTGGTGGAAAAATGTAAGCCACATGTTCTATCCACTTGCAAATATTGGAAATAAAATTCACATGACCCCCACTTAATAGCCTGGGCACCATGGACACATTATTGGCAAGTTACCATTAGACTCCATCACCCGCTGGGACTCTTCATTAAAATTGCTGCATGTTTAAATTGTTTACCCTATTTAAACTAGCCCTGCACAGCTAAACCAATCAATGTTCAACATCAAATTATTTGGTGATACTTTATTGGCAGTCGTGCACAATCACAAATAACAAAAATAATATTCAACACTTTGCAAATAACATTATCTAAAAAAAAAATGTTTCTATCACCGGTGCCGTTTTGTGCAATGGCTCTTCTCCAAAGCACACTCCACCTCTCTGGCCTATCCTTGTCCTGTGAAGAAGGGCCATTGCCAGAAACGTCGTAGTTTTTCTTTTTATGGCAGTCTTGTTGACAGATGTGTTGAGTTTTAGACTTAAGTTATTGACCAGATAATTATCGCAGTAGGCTCTCATCTGGTTATATAAGAACGCATTAGCAAGCGAGGAGGAGTGTCTACTTATTTTAACAATAATTTTACATTGACCACTGTAGGCCTCCTCTAGGATCTTTCATCATTTAACAAGTAAATGGAAAACGGAAGGTGAATAAACCATTCCATAGCAAGTGCAATGAGCAAGCGTGCGCTCCAATTTGTATTTTGAGTTTCTCGCAAAATACAATTATTCACAATGAAAAGTATAACATGGACGTGCTCATTATTATCATGGTTAAGGAAAAAAAATGTAGCCTATTTAATTGTCAATTAGCAATTCTATTTGGTTTATTACGGTACAAATTCCTAATTGGAATGGATCATAAATTAACGTTTCAAAACAATGAGAATGCTCGAGGCGTCGCGTTGGCAGAGTCTGAGAGAGAGAGAGGCTGTTTGCAGTTTCAAATTCAAGGTTCACTGATTTGAACTCGTCTGTGGAATCTCATTGCTGAGACTACAACAACAGGGATTCTTAAGCCTGTAGATCAGTCAGCTTGCTAAGTGACCCGTGAAGGTCCCGCTTAACTTTCCGCAAGAGTGGGTCACTGCTTGCCAACATTGGAGCCAAAGTAGCCACCTGCAATAATTAGATAACATTCTGCAAATGGGAACAAATTGGGCCTCGTCCAAAATATTGCCAGTTAAGTATTCTTACGAGTGCTACCCTCCACCACGGACTGCTGGATAGTCTCGTGCTCGGTGCATCCTCCGATGTGTGCATGAAGTTGGAGGTTCGATTCCTGCAGAAGTACAAAACAACATTACGGAACACCACGGCATACGAACTGCACACCATTTGGAAGAGTCAGCTGTTACTGTCCAGTGCAAGGCCCGAATCACGAACTTGAATATTAACCTGGAGTCAACCACTAACCTTCATGGCCAGCCAGATAATTTTTAAAAATCTGAATTGGCTTTCAGAGGCCTGTCAATAAAAGCGGCTGACATTTATACAGCCGAAGCGAGCTGCTGAATAAAGATGTACAAAAGAAAAACCATGCTGGAATATTCTCGCACAAGACCAAACTTAGTGGAATTTCATTTTCCAGATAGATCAAACAATAAATAAATAAGCAATGCACTCAACAACTTCTGCACTCTCTCTTTCTTTTGTTGTAAAAATGCGGTGAGTAGGTAGTTTAGGGTAACCGGTCGACTCGCAACCACACACCTCGAATGGGTGGTGTTTAAATTACTGTTCCTGTAAAGCGCACACAGCAAGCAGTGTGATGAGTTACAGAGCACAATTTCCCACGCTTTTGATAGAAATTTTGTTCAATGAAATGGAAAAAAAACGACGAGAAAGAAGAGAACAGGGGGGGGGGGGGGCTATACTCGCACCTAATTCCAGAGTTTGCTTTGTCGGCATGCGTGTGTGTGAAAGGCACAGGCATGGCTAGCTCATATAGGTGGTGGGGCACTTCAAGCTGACCGACAAATCGTGCCGTGTTTGTACAGCTGAGTCAAGTTGTGCGCCTTGCATACTTTGGCTGTAAATGGTTCTAGGCGCACTTATGTCATCACGTTGCTTCCTGTGCACACATGCCAATGCTCAAACTCACCTCCATTCAACAGTTGCGTGGAGGATGTGTCGTAGTTGCTGTTTTTTCCATTCCGCTGCAAGGTGTCTATGGTGGCTTTATAGTTTGCTCTGTGACTGTTGTTTGAAATTTAATTGACAAGTAGTGGGGTGTGGATAACAATAGTGGTATTATTAATCGAATTAGAATCTAAATTTATTTAGAGGTTCAATCTTGATTTGAAGCTTTCGTGACCTGCAGGAATCCATACTCTTTGCTTTCCCACCTGATGACGGATGCTTGTGTTGCGCCCGAAACGTCGTGATTAATTTTATTTAATTGTTTATACCTAGGTGACTTTACCGAAAGAACCAAAGAGTATTTAGAGGTTGTAATATACAATGAATGGACATGGGAAAACAAATAAACGTCGATCTCAGACGATGCAGGAAAAAGGTGTGCGCAAATAAATAATTTTGCTTGTAGTGTGTGATGCAGTTTGTTCACAAGTAAAAATGTTTTGCCTTGTTTTAAATTATACAATTTTACATTGTATACCTACTCATTATTTAATGTATAGCTGTTTATCAATCCACTGATGGATAAATACCTCCCCAAACTGAGTTGGTCATGGGGGTTTTTGATTATACTTCACCATGCTGGTCAGTGTGGCAGTTCTGGAAGGGGCGAGGCAGTTCTGGTTATGTGGCAGGGAATCTAACACAGTACAGTTAACCAGAGGTCGCAAACGGGTTTTGATTCCTTACCCGTACCGGTACCCGGCCACACCAGGGTTACAAATGGGTACCCGTACCCGGCCGGGTATGGGTACCCGTTCCCTACCCGTACCCGTACCCTACCCGAAATGAGTGACAAACGGTTACTCACCAGTGACTCACGGCCTACCCGTACCCGTAGCCGGCCGCACCAGGGTCGCAAACGGCTATCCGTACCCGTACCTGGCCGGGTACGGGTAGCCGGGTATCGGGTAGGGTACGGGTATCGGGTACCCTGGTTGCGACCTCTGCAGTTAACCCACGAGTATATGTAGCTACATATGCTACTTTACTTATTTTACAACACATGTTGACATCATTTCCCACCTTTCAGCTCCCTCCAAGATCGACAGCCTCAACGCAGACAGGCCCACAAAAGATAGGGTGCAGCTGTCCTGGCCGGCTCCTGTGAAACCCAATGGAGTCATCCTGGACTATGAAGTCAAGTATTATGAAGTGGTGAGCGCATCCTGTAACCGCCACACACCTGCACAAGCCCTAAAGCCTGCACAAGCCATATACAGCCTGTGTTTTCCATGACATGGTGAACACAGGATGTATGGCTTGACTATAAGACATGTATGTTGAACTTTTTTTTTGCACCGTACGTAGCCAACCGCACTAATCTGAGGTGCGGCTGGGAAATGAGATTAGAACTGAATGCCACGAAAATCATGTTCACTTCAATACCTCTCTCGGCCACATCCTGTTGTGTGGAAGAAATTGTAAACACTGGGCCAGATTACCTTCAGACGCAATTGCTTGGTCCCCAATGAAAATGTCTATTGTTTAGACAGCTGAATGGCCCAGAGCTTCGGGGTGTTCGACACTGGGCCAGTTTGCACACAGTTGCAGCGCAGTCATTCTTTGAGCGGTGAACACGTAGCCTTTAGAGAGAGCATGCCCGTATCATTTTCTATGTAAGCTACTACGTCTTCAAGTCAAATGCCAACCTTCATTTAAGTATTATGTTATCAGCCGAACTGTAATGATATGTGCGATACTAAGGAATACACTGCTTGGCACTTTTAATATGAAGATACAAATACCCCCATTTAGCCTACACAGGCTATTGGGGCAAGTGCTGTTAGCGAGCACCTATGAAGGCCGGCACGGTACACTAGAGGGTGGGTGGCCAGAACCACACTCAACCGCCTTTGTCTTCCTTGTGGCGATGTTTGCAAATTGCACCACATCCTCAATTGAGGCTGATTCGACCGAGGACCAGTTCAGTGATTCGCCACTGATATTGGCCACAAGCGGGATTCAAACTCGGGACGTAGGGTTCGTAGTGCAGCGCAGCGCAGCACTACCGCTCCCCAGCACACACTCACTCACAAATGTCTTCCACTTGGCACAAATTAATTTAACGCATTGCAGCATCTTAACATGAACGCCTTCGTTTGAGCAAATCATCACTCCATTTGTGTCAACGCCGCTTGAGCCACGGTGGACTTTAATCGTGCGCCGCGTGTCCTCTCCCAGGGCCAGCGGGACACCAGCTACAACATCCTGCACACCAAGGTGCCGTCGGCCAGCATCGAGGGCCTCCGGCCCGACATTGTGTACGGCTTCGAGGTGCGGGCGCGCACGGCCGCCGGCTACGGCAAACCCAGCGACGCCGTGGAGATCGACACCAGCGAGGACGGTGAGTCCCGACGGCGCAGACACACGCCTGGGTCCGTTGCACCTTCTCTGGCTGTGATGCGTGCAGGGCTGGACATGGAGCTACTCTGCGTGCGCGTGATCATCTAGCGGGGGGCAGTCGTGTAATGGTTAGCACGTGGCGCTATGAACCCTGGCGACCCGAGTTCGATTCCCGCTCATGGCCAATACCAGTGACGATTTTCTGAATTGGTCCCCGGCCTCCTCTAGGTCGACTCAGCCTTAAATTAGTACCTGGTGCGGTGTGTAAACATTGTCACTGGGGAGACAAAGGCAGCCAGGCCTTGTGCTGGCCACCCACCCGGTCGTGTGCCATCCTGGCCTTCATAAGTGCTCGCTAAGAGCACTTTCCCCATCAGTCTGTTAAGGCTATACAAGGGATCTTTTTCTTTGTAGTGGTTCGTTACACTAGGGAGTGGTGGTATAGTGGTTAGCGGAATGCTCTATGAACCTGGCAACCCGAGACTGATTCCCAGTCTCGATTAAAATCAAGCGTGGTAGTGTATGGGTTAGCTTTTGTGGGAGCGGTACTGTAGTGGTTAGCTTCGTGGGAAACAGCAGCGTGCTGGTTAGCTTCGCGGGGAATGGTAGTGTAATGTTTATTGCGCTGCGCTACGAACCCGGCGACCAGAGTGGGATTCTCACTCGCAGGCAAGAGTTTGACTGAGCCTTATATGGGTACATGGTTGCAGTGTACTTAGGGAGACAAAGGAAGCTGGATGTGGCGCTTGCCGCACCACCCCCATTCATGCACCATTCCTGGCCCTCACAGGTGTTTGCTGACAGCACGAACCTCACCAGTCGATGGAAGCTACAGGCAGCGCGCTCTGTATTTGTGTGTCCATACGTGCTTATGTATGTTCACTTGCTCCTCCCTGTTATGAATGATATGGACATTTAAAAATGTAATAATATACATAGCAGGTCATTATTTATTTATTCAAATAAAGTTCTATATTCAAGTGATACAATCGAGAAAACTAGTGGTAATGTCTATAATCGGAGATTGAAGTTGGAGAGCAGCAGTGATGTAAGCTGTTCATGGAGTGTCATATGTAACACTGTTAATGGCAAGTTTTTGTATTTGAGATAATGTACACAATTGCCTTGATAGCTGCCACTTTTTAAACATCATACGCAAGTGTGTACCCAGTATGACATATGTACAGTTTGTCCATACATATGCTTAGAATTGCACAGTGTTTTCCCTGCCTGTTCATATGCACATTGATTTATCTTTGCTTTCTGGCTACACCATTCATTCCAAATATTGTTCTGTGATGCAAAAGATTACATTTTCACTGGAGCACATTCCTGGTGGTGATAAAGGGTCGACTTGCCATTGCAGATGACACGGGGCGCATACAATACCACATCATTACGGCGCTTTCCTTAATGAAAAATGATACCTTCATACTTTTGGGGCAATGCAGTCAATTTATGGTGGGGATAGTGAGAACCGGATAATGGAATTAATGAGAGAGAAGAATGTGGAAAGGTTTGCATAACAATCAAGTTAAATTTGCAATCCTGGGACAGTGTGAGCATTGGGAAGGGTTGATTGAAGGATCGTGATTTAACGGAGGAATGAGCCTAATGGGCTGCATGACCTTGTCTCTTTTTAGATGTTCTAATGTTATTAATTCTTGACTCTTGTGGCACTATTAGGAAGCAGGCTTAGATGAGAGAATCTGGTGTTCGGGAGGGCAGTGATTAGAATGCGTCTGTAACAACCACCTGATTTTTGTTATTGCCCCCTTCCCTGCATATCCTCGGGCAAGTGGGGCAGGTATCTAGCAGTGGACAAAATTCCGTAGCCATCATTCCCGTTACCACCATATGTAAAGCCTCAACAACGAAAAAAAATAGTCCTCAATTCCGAATGTTTTTATTTTAAAGACCTGATTTAGATTATTTCTTGAGGTTATCAGGGGAGTTTGGGGGTACAATGGTTTAGCGCACTGCACATTGAACGCCGCGACGTGAGTTCGATTCCCGGCCACAGGCTGACATCAGTGGCGAGTGACTCGCGTACTGGTCCTGCCCCTCCCCCCCCACACCAACCCACACTGACCGGCATGGTGAAGTAAGGTCAAACAAATTCAATGACCGACATGGCTTGCGGAGGCCTTCATCCATTAACAAAGCGGTGTACGTTATATTTTTTTATTATTACTTAGGATTATCAGTGCTATTGCACATTTCCTCTTGGCCGTGCACGTGAAAAGGGTTGTACTGTAATGTGGAGACACTGGGCATCTCATTGCTGCTCCTGTCAGGGACCCAACACACCCCTGCACTCTCTAATGTTCACCTCCATTTCCACTCGGGCTTAAAATTAATCTCACTCTTGGATTTACGCCCGGGCAATTTTTACAGCGCACATATTACCCAAAATGCCACGCCGCCGTCAATTAATCTGTTTTAATTGCAGATCCAGGGGCTTTGACGCAGGTCCTGGTGATCGCAAGCTGTGTCTTTGTTGCCGTGGTTCTCATCGTCCTGGCTTTGGTCTACGTGCGGCGCAGGTGGGTGGCCTTCTGGAGCTTCTTTGACATTTTTGTTGTTTTGGCAATGCCCATTTCAACACGTGAGGGGAAGTGCACATTTTGTTTACAGTGTACGTACACAGATGCGTTGTGTGTTTCCTTGTGCTGAGTAAGGCTTGTCATCGTGAATGGATATTTATGCCGTAATTTTAGGATGGCATTGAGGTGTCGCCAATCTGCGATATCCGTCGTGGTTACGCTATAATGTGCATGTTTCTCAATGTGACACTGGTATTTCTTCGTGCGAGGCAGGGAACGTGCGTTGTCGCGTTGAAGATGCCCCCTTTATTGCGCTGTCTTGGCGTTCAAGAAATGGCAGAGTAACAATTTTGGGAGTAAATTTGTATTGTGTTTCTGCAGACGCTCAAGAAATATAGCTGCTCGCGGCGATGAAGAGGAGCAATTTCCAATCAAGCCAAATGAAGGTGAGTGGTGAAACGATAAAGTGAGCTTATCAAAGCCAGTGTACACGCGCGAGTGTTTACACAGTCTTTACGATCCTATTGAGGGCATGGCTCCTCTCCAGTCTTGTAAACCTTGTTTTATAACGTGCACTGTGATTGAATGGCGTTCTACGAAACAATATATACATTGCAGTTCACCTGAGAACGAAACGGAACTACGTTGACCCCTTCACGTACGAGGACCCGAATAAAGCCGTCCAAGATTTCGCCCGAGAGATCGAACCGTCCTGGATAATCATCGAGAAGGTGATTGGATCAGGTGAGATAATTTTCTACATCACAGGAGACTAAATAGCCCAGCGGTTAGTATGATTGCTGCTTTGCTTGAGTAAAATTATTGTTATATGTTTAGGGGTCAATCCTAGTTGTAGATAGACCCAACTCATCATCACTCCGGGGTGAATAAAATAGGTACTACTTTTTGGAAAGCACATAATGGTTACCCTATAGTGAGGCTGGCCTTTGTCCTTAGAAATGTGGAATATTCACTGGTGGAAATGTGCACCACAAAACTTGAATTCATTTGTGCATAGGAGCATGCAATTTAACACCGCTTCGACAAAAATACGAGGTCTTTTCTTGGCACTTCAAAGTTTTCCAGGTAAATGAGACATTTACTGCAGATGACTGTTGCTTGGAGATATTCGCCATAGAGATGATAAGATCGTGACAAAGATTTCCAATACGCGTTGTGATGAAGCCTGCTATGAAGGGTGTGTTGGCCATCTGAAGGGTTGGGACATGAGAATTAAGCTAGAAAATGCAATATCTGATGACCACTTTCCTTCACACGAAACCACTCGTGTTCATTTCTGTATTACAATAAAGCCACTATATATAGAAAAAACAATCAATGCTACCAGTCAGGCATGGGCAGAATGCAATTATTAACTAACGTCCCTGGAAAAATATTTATTTAATTCATTTTTGCCGTGAGATTTGCTCGTTGTATTGCGATAAATATTACAATTAATATCCGCAATGCAATAAATTAATTCAGCCTTCAGCCTTGAATCTGTTTACAGTGGCATATAGAGCACACATGTAGTGTTTATTAATTGCCATTAACGACCAAAAGCAAAACATAATACATATAGCGTTAAATCGCTCAGTAATTGCACAATTACGCGCCCCAGTGCGTTTAACATCTGAGCTTTAAATATGTAGCAAATCATTTGGGTGGTGGAAATAAAAAAAAAACCCAGCACCTGGTTTAATAATCCCGTTAAAAAGTTTCACTTTGCGACAAGGCGTCGTGCTGGACTGTGAAATGGCTTTGACTAATGAGTGAGCAAGCTACAATACGTAAAGGCAATATAAGATTTCGAGCAGAATATTTCACCTCCCAAAAAGTAATTGCCGCTGAGCATCTGTTTTTGCTTTCAGTGCGTTCATTTCTCTCGCGTTTGAGCTCCGCCCCATCCACCCTGCACCTCCTGTTCAGTGATACTCGCAGGCATATTCTCACTTACGATCGCGCCTCTCCCAGTTATTGACATTCGCAGATTTGACTCCCGATTCGATATAGGCCGTGTTTTTTTACGAGTACATTCAGCCACCTGTCTTGCCACGGTGTTGGGTGTGTGTGCATTAGAGGAAACATCTTTAACAGTTTCAGACTGGTGGCATATTTTCTGTAAATAAACTGAATGACCATTGTTTGAAATATGTCCCAACTAGACTTATATATCATTTCAAAGAATATCCTTGCTGATTTGAAACGAATAACATTCTTTACGAACTTGACAAGCTTGCAACTATGATGGCGTACGTGTTGTCGGTTTTAATATTCTTACAGGATGCAGTGTGGAAATCCATATTGGTTAACTTTTGGTAGTATGCATTCCATCATGGTGTCATCTCCCGAAGCGATTCAGTGTGAATGTTATTAACGATGGTTCTTAACGGTTGTCAAAATAAACTCGAATAAAATGTATGCTGTCAAAGAAAACCAAGAAGTAATTAATGCTCAAGGCAGAAGGTTCTAATTAGGAGTGGTTATATCTCATCCCATGCAGTTTTGATTCCCTGAGTATATTGAATTGCTGCGCAGTCTTGCAAACGATCGCTGCAGTTGTATGATGAAAGACCAGACTGCCAATGTCATTTAAAAAGTAAAAGGGTGGATTCACGCACACAGATTACAATGTGCACTTCGTAACATGCATTTGATACAAGACATGCATGTCATCTTTTATGTATGTCCCGATAGTATTATAACATTAAACAGTTTCCAACACAGCTGCATTTCCTATCTTATGTCAAGTAGAACACCTCCGATTAGCACAGTGCAAAAAAAAAAAAGTTCAACATACATGCGTATCGTGAAATGTGTCGCATATTTATATTTCATGTATTTATTTGTTGCCGATCGCTTGCCAGGTCACAAACTACGGTCTAATTTACGTGTTTGTGGGTGTATGACGGACTAATCATATTACAATATCACAACTCGAGCTTAAAATAATTCTGTTTCATTTGCTGGTTCTCTTTAAAGTGCGTCAAAGCAACCGCAGGCTGTGAGATAAGCTATTGACTCGGTCAGGTTGGCCTTTTCAACGCAGCTTGATATTTTATTGCAATTGATTTATTTCTTAAAACCCTCCATGTATGAGCGTCTCGGCCAAGGAATCTTCAAGGAGTCCACAGTGCCCACAACCGCGGCGAACGATCACGCTGTCTTAAAAGTATAGATCAATGCCTCTAAAATGGCAAGCTCCGGATCGTATCGAGTATAAGCTTCATAACAAGGACGAACACTGGAAGGAAATGGCTAATTAATGTCGAAAAGTAGTACTGTATTATGCGTAATGTATGGAAAAAACGCATTTCAAAATTGCAGTGTCAACCAATGTTTAATGGACCTACAGATTTCTCCAAAGTAATTGTGTCAACATAACCCGTCAGCTTTTTGTTAAAGTTGCTTTGTGCACAGTTAGTACACTTGTCTGGCTGTGGGTTTGGAGTCCCAAAACTTAACTTGGCAGCTGCATTCTGCCTAAGGCACACCTCCCACAGCACTTTGCTGTGTTGTGAAACCCTCATGAATTATCCTGTTGTTTTCTTTAGAACTTTTAAGATCCTATCGATTTTAAATAGCTCAACGAGATGTAGCACATGTTTAACAGACATTTTTTTTACAAAAGAGGATGCTTTAAGACTTGCTTATTATTATGGAATCATACAGTTGTCTTAGGATTTCATACTAGAGGAGGGGCAATGAGCGAGGCAGGTGATGGTGATGGCTATTTGTCGGTTGTAAAGAGAGGCCAATCTTTTCCCGAGTTCGTATAATCTTGCTGAATTCAGAAACTTAATTAATCGCATTCATTAAAACACAAACAGTCCTGTTTGTTGCTAACTCCTTTGCCCTTGGACCTACGTTCAGCAACCATGGTAAACAAAAAAACGATTTAAAATCTCGATCCGTCGTGAATTTCAACGCGAGCAGAGCCTATGGGCCTCTCATACAACAAGCGGGCGGTCCGGCACGAGGCTATGTGCAAAGCGTACGTGGAGCAAACTCCTCAGCAGCTTGTTGAGCCTGACGGTCATGGCGCATTTGCAGGCGAGTCCGGGGACGTGTGCCGGGGCCGCCTGCGCGTGCCGGGCCAGGCCGAGACGCCGGTGGCCATCAAGACTCTGAAGGCTGGGTACAGCGAGAAGCAGCGCAGGGACTTCCTGAGCGAGGCCAGCATCATGGGCCAGTTTGAGCACCCGAGCATCATCCGCCTGGAGGGGGTCGTCACCAAGAGTGAGTCGCTGAGCGCACCGAGCGAGCGGGCGCGTGGGCGGGCACACGGGAACGAACGCAGCGAGTGAGCGAGTGAGACACAATCACACTCTCGTGCGCGAACTCGAGAGATGCACAAACGTTTGGAGGTGGTCGGGAGGCGCAAGGGTCGAAGCGGCGAGCCGGCATCACTGAGATTCTTGGTTTGAATTTGGACTGCCACTGATGATTAAACCGAGTTCGCAAGCGTAGTGAGTTGGTGGTCTCCGGCTGGGCATCAGTGACTAAGTATTATTACACGAGGTTTTTTTTAACTCAAGTTCGTTGACTCCTGCTTTTCTGCTGAAAAAAATGCACTTTGAAAGGTGATGAATTGTCTTCATAGGATACTCAAATGCGTGACCCTAGTGAAAATAACAGGATTTGATGTGACTTCAGAATTACTTCTATAATGTCATCTTTCAAGGCATTTAACTGCAGATTTCCAAATCTAAATTCAGTGTTCCTATTCCCTAATTCAAACAGCACAAATGGAATATAATTGGAAGAAAAAAAACACTCTCATGCTGGATTGACTGCTGGCATAATTGCTGTTAATGACGAGTATTAATGCTGCTGAAGTGCACAAATGGCGGTTAGATCTTTGACGCTTGTTCCCGCCAGCGCTTGGACGAGCATCGTGCCGGGTGCTTATTTTAGGCCGGGGTTAACCTGTAGGGAAGCCCAGCGCAGCCTCAGATATCAACTGTAACTGACGTGCGTGTGCTGGAATTGAATCTCGGTGTCTAGGATCGTAGTGCACTTAAGGAGCTTAGCTCAAATCCCTGTACACGTGTAAGATGGCACAAAGAATACGAACACAAAGATTCCCCGTATAGCCTTTACAGACTTTTGGGGCAAGTGCTGTTAGTGAACAGCACCTCTAGAGGCTGGCATGGCACATGAGGGGGTAGGTGACCAGCACCACGCCCGACCGCCTTTGTCTCCCCAGTGGCGATGTTTACACACCGCGCCAGGTACTCGTTTGAGGCTGAGTCGACCCAGGGGAGGTCCAGTTCAGATATTCGTCACTAGTGTTGGCCTTGAGCGATAAATCAAACTCGGGTCGCCAGGTGTATAGCACAGCGCGATAACCGCTATACTGCCGCTCCCCGCATGTAACAAGGCACACGCATGCAGGAGCAGGCACAGACCGTAACGAGCATGTACAACACACTTATGCATCCTGGACTGCACGGAGATAGGGAAATAAGGAGGCTCATGTGTGTACTTACAAACACCAAAACAAATACACTGGGTGGGCCTTACATAAACTAAACACATGGACACAACACGATGGGTATTTACGCTTGCACAGCGGGATGCCTAAATGCACAATTATCCCATGACAAGGAATGACGTGCTGTTCACTTGGTACAGATCCATCCTAATGCCCTCTAAAAGGCCATGCCATCTGCATAGGGGTTGTCATCGTGATATATCTTACAGACAGACCCATAATTGTTACTTAGTATGGGGAAGGGCTTTCATTTAAATTCAACAAAATGTGCCAATATTAAACTGAGCACCTGTGTCTCTTGCTGTCCCTTTACAGGCAAGCCGGTGATGATCATAACGGAGTACATGGAAAATGGTTCTCTTGATGGATTTCTACGGGTAAGAGATGTAAAATTATTATTATTTACAATAACCATGATAGCTCTAAAAATAAACGATCGTCATTAATTAGGCAACATTGGATTTTGAATTTAAATTTTCCACCTTTGGGAGGCAATTTCACATTATAAATACGCTTACATGGGCGTTTTAATAACTTAAAGAGCAGCTGAGCCGTTTCTTTTGCCACCCAGACCATATGTTCCAAGTGTCCGATATGAGAGCAAGGGAGCAGCTCTGGCATGCCACGGTGGTTTACGGTGTGCGGTTACGTCCCTGCATTCTAAATTTCCTTTTCTCAACTGCGTGAGCAAACCTGCTTTCCACAGGTCTTTGTGAGCGATTTTTATTCAGTAACCAACTCCGTGTTGCTCCCGGTGCAGAGTAACGACGGGCAGTTCAGCGTGGGTCAGCTGGTGGGCATGCTGAGGGGCATTGCGGCCGGCATGAAGTACCTGTCCGACATGAACTACATCCACCGCGACCTGGCTGCTCGCAACGTCCTGGTGAACAGCAAGCTGGTGTGCAAGGTGTCCGACTTCGGGCTGTCACGGGGGCTGGAGGACGATCCGCAGGCCGTCTACACCACCCACGTGAGCAGCTCCCCCCCCCGCACGCTCCTCGCACAGCCTGAGAACCAGAGTGGGAATGCACACTCACTCACTGAGACTCATCACCACCCAGCCTAGAGACTCACAGTGGAGATTCACACTCACTCACTGAGACTCATCACCACCCAGCCTAGAGACTCACAGTGGAGATTCACACTCACTCACTGAGACTCATCACCACCCAGCCTAGAGACTCACAGTGGAGATTCACACTCACTCACTGAGACTCGTCACCACCCAGCCTAGAGACTCACAGTGGAGATTCACATTCACTCAGACTTAATGCGATTCCAGAATCACTGACACTCAATTACACTCGTGTATCCTGAGCCTTGACACCAGAATCGGAAATGTATGTATGTTGGACTTCTTTTGCACCGTACGTTGCCAACCATGATAATTGGAGGCGCGGGATGAGATTCACTCATGATACGTATTAATTGAATTAGTGAAGCGATGATTAAGATTATTTGAGATTTGCTGCGGCTCATGCCTGAGGCACAGAGTGAAAATACAGATTCACTGAGACTTGCTGAGACCCACCACCCAAGAGGCTTGGATGTGAATTCAGGAGGTCATTGTCAGTCACCATTCTTCGGGATGAGTTGCATCATTTGTATGCAGCGGATCCCTCGTACTTGACTCTGGCTTTGAGTTATTTTGTTATTTTCCCCCACATGCAAGGACACCAAATGGGCAGATAAAAAAAATGATTGGGTGTTTTTTTACCTCCATTTTCTATTTTTTTCTCTCAGAAATGATATTGTGCACCTAGAAGACAATGATACACAACAATCTCGCGTTCCCCAATCCCCATCCCTGTGCTCTATACCCTTCCAAAACAATACCTCAAAGAGTGGAGGGCCCTTGGCTTCCTTGAGTGCCTGATTCATTACCACTGCCTTTTGTTGAACATCACTAATTAGTTGTGTGTAATTACAATAAAATGTTGATATTAATTAAAACTCATGCAAAGTAAGCCAAATTCCCTCTCGAGGTGCCCTCCTGAGCTCCCTCTAATGGAGGCCATTCTGCTCGCAGTGGTGTGAGCGAGCAATTGCAGGCCTGCACCTTTTAACTTTTACCCTATTCATCAAAAGGCAGTGCTAATGAATCAGTGACTCAAGGAAGCCAAGCGCAGCTACTGGATGGACTGTCGCATCGTGAGACCGTGAGAGATATCAACGGCTTGAGGAGGCCTTCATCCAGCAGCGGATTGATAATTGCTGCTGCTAATGGTGGTTATGACGTTGAGTCACAAGCTCATAAGAACACCGAATGTTTGTGGGCTGCGCGCAGGGAGGCAAGATCCCCATCCGCTGGACGGCCCCAGAAGCCATCGCCTTCCGCAAGTTCACATCGGCCAGCGATGTGTGGAGCTTTGGAGTCCTCATGTGGGAGGTCATGTCCTACGGAGAGAGGCCCTACTGGGACATGAACAACCAGGACGTGAGTGAACATAAATAACGGCAATAAATAGGCAGCGGAATAAAAAATAAAAGCGACCTGATTCTCATTTAATATAGTTGCCGCTGCGGATGACATGCTGGGCACGATCAGAGCCTGGCAGGACAGATAATCTGATCAATTCGTCTGTGCAGCAGTTTGTGTACAATATTGGATTACCCTCATTGAGTCTCACCGCTGGCGAGTGGCTCAATTGTGCAAAGAAACAGAGCTCAATAGGAGACGAAAAAAGCCAATTTTGTCCGTTGTCTCTGCTGGAATATGAAATTCTGTTGCTAGAGCTTTTAATACGAAACACTAGGCTTGGGTCGGTGATGTATCCCATTTGAGATATGAAAAGTCTGTACATCATGACCAAGTGGGCTCATGAATTCACATTCACTCGGCAGTATCCTCAGTCCCTCGACCGCATACAAGAACTCTGCTGATGAGCCGATCACCCCTGCCCACAGCGATTGATGGAATCGATTTGAATGTGCAATCTCTTAAATTGTACTCACTAATGCTTCTAAAGTGGCACACCTATGCAGAATATTGCATAAAGTTAGAATTGTGAATTAAACTATTAAAGCTTCACATTTACTTCAGAGCCACACATAACCTGGGCATAGTGAAAATAAATATGTGCATAATTCAATGTGTGTACTTCTTAATCATGCATCTTTACAGAGTGTATATTTAATTTAACTGTGGAAAAAATCTAACAGAATGTGGATTTTTTCGTCCTGTTAAATTGCACGTCTCTACGCACTCGCATGTTAAAACCTTTTACGAAGACGGCCTGAAAATATTCATATACCCAGGTGTAAGGCAGAACTACGGGTCTGATAACATCGCTGCAGTGGAGCCGTACGTCAGCGTTACGCTGTACTCGCGCGCGAAGGAGCGGTGAGAAACGGGGGGGAGAGTGATGGCTCACGTAAGCTGCAGCGCCGTGGACCGAATAACAAAGAATGTCAACTAAGAAGTGCCGCACATCTCTATAACAAAAGCTCAGAAATTGCACGCATGCATTGCCAGCTGTTGGGGAAATAGAGGCTGCCATGCCTCACAGCCCACCCATGGTACATCGTTCCACATCTGCCAGTCTCCCACATTTACTTGCAAACCAGGTGATGCACTGTTATGTGGGGCACACAATAATATGGCTCATGGGACAGGGCACTGAACCAGCACCGTCGAGGTCCTGGATTTGAATCTGGGCGGCTGCCAGTGATTAAACTGGTTTCTCAAGTGTAGCGAATCGATTGTCTCGGTTGGATCACCGGTAACTACGCGCAAAAAAAAAATTACGATCATTAAATTCGATTGTTTTGCACTTGATTTGGATAAATTCCTGCTCTGAGAGTTCAAAATAACGGTTTGGATATCAAGCTACAAGCAATCTTAGAGCAGGGTGCATAGAAATGTATGCCTCCTACTGTGTAAAGGAATAAAAAGGCCACTTGAAGGATTTTGCAGGGGGAAAGTCCTTTGAAATATCTTCTGCAAGCCATGCTCGGGCATTTTGTTTGCTGCTTTTTGAGGTTTCCAAATGGATTCGTTACGGAATTAACGTGAAAATAAATCGGTGAAAGGGAGCAAGAACAATAGTCAATTAATTCTATAATTGAAGCTTTCGTGACTGCAAGGATTCATATTCTTAGGTTTTTTTCGGTAAAGTTGTGTAGGTAAAAAATTAAATTTATAAAAGTTAAATAAAAATAAAATAAAAATCACGACGTTTCGGAAGCAACACAAGTGTCCGTCTTCAGGTGGAACCGTCACAGCCCGCTTGTGTTGCCTCCGAAAGGTCGTGATTTTTATTTTATTTTTATTTTACTTTAATTCATTTTAATTTTAATTTTTTACCTACGTGACTTTACCGAAAAAACCTAAGAATAACAATAGTCCAATGCAAAGAAAGAACTTGGAATCTCGATGGGCCACACATCCTGGTGGTGATGATGCTGATGATTTACCCGCACTCAGTGTGCCGACCAGGCAAAGAGCCAGGGGCAATAACGACGGGATGACGGCTGTGCCGTGCAGGTGATCCAGTCGATCGAGGAGGGCTATCGGCTGCCTGAGCCCATGGACTGCCCGCCGGCGCTGCACCAGCTCATGCTCGACTGCTGGCAGAAGGAGCGCACTGAGAGGCCCAACTTTGCGCAGATCCTCGCCTACCTGGACAAGCTCCTGCAGAACCCCGCCAGCCTGCACGCCGTTGCACAGCCTGGCAGCGAGTGAGTCACACTGCATCTTTTTTTTCTCTCGTGGGTTTATTTTTTCATTTATTAGACTGCAGTCACTGCGCACAAGCCCAATGGCCCCAGAATGCCAAGCGCTGTTAAAATTAATCGTCGTTCCTTGGATTAGGCCACGTAGTTACCCGGCCAAATAGTTTGGCCATGTCGGATGGTGGTGGGGTCTTAACGACATTTATTTGGGCTGGCTTCACCCAAAAAAATCAACTGTGAATCATAATATTGGCCCCAACAAACCCACATGTTAACCACTATTAAAGTTGTAATAGATAAGAGTTAACGCGTTTGTTTAATTGAGCAACATTATAGGATTTGGGAACAGAGGTGATGGGAGGGAATTCCAAAATAGCGCAGTGTGAGGGAATAATAATCAGAGGGGGAATTGCTTTGACCCGCAGTGTGGTGGTTGAACAGAGTACGGATGAGACGTAGCAGTCTCGTCTGATAGACCGAGTCCTCAACACACGTGGAGGCATCAACGAGTGGCGATCACGGCAACAGTAACCATGGCAGTAGCAGTAGACGAGCGATTTGGACAGGCCGTGTTAAGAATAATTTCCCATCGAGAATGTGTGCACGTCTTTTTGCAGAGACGTCCAACACAAATATTTAACATTGACGGGAGAATTTTTAAAAGCTTGACTTTGAGAATTGGCTCACTCGGAGGATTCGGCCCGGCGAGTTTTTGACATTTTTTTTTTTAGTCAGGACACGGGGGTTAACAGCCGTGCTCTTTTTGCTGAAAGATTTGCGGTGTTTAATGTCCTCGGCGCAGACTGGATTTGAGTTTAATGTCTGGACCACAAGACAGCACAATCTGCAGCATCGTGCCCCTTGGCTTCCAGCTGGGGCTTTGATTGAATGCTCGCCTACGTGTGAGAGCACTCCCTGCTGAGCAACCAGCGCTACTTTCTGCGGCAGCAACTTCACCTCCCATCAGCAGTCTCCCCCACTCAAAGGGAATGCACATGCAGGGCTGCCTGTTACTCTCTTCATACGTGCCTCCCAAGCCTATTTTTCATCATCATCATTGGCCAGGTTTTCACGTGCATTATATCCAACAGCATATTACAAATAGTTTTGCGGTGTAGTCAATACACGTATATTATGTAAAAAACGTACACGCAACAATTTGTGTCAATGTAGTTTGATATTGATTCAAAACTAATTTATTTATTGGTAAGTTATTTCGTATAGGCAGGCCTTCATTTGGCAGTGGATGGACTAAGGGCTGTATATTATCATTATTCTTTTTTTCATGAAGTTATATTCATCGTCTTCTTTCGTGATGTTTGTGTCACCGAGTTTGCAAATATGTGCCACATGCAATGCAGGCTCTGTAAAGGTAGTAATGCATGAACAAAAATAGTCATCCCCGATCAACTACCAAAGTGGAAATTCTAGATTTGAAGCTTTCGTGACTGCAAGGATTCATATTCTTAGGTTTTTTCGGTAAAGTCATATAGGTAAAAAATTAAAATTAATAAAAGTTAAATAAAAATAAAATAAAAATCACGACGTTTCGGAGGCAACACAAGCTTCCGTCTTCAGGTTGAACCGTCACAGCACGATAGCTGTATCAAGTAAAGAGAAACTCCGAAACGTCGTGATTTTTATTACATTTTTATTTAACTTTTATTAATTCAAATTTTTTACCTACGTGACTTTACCGAAAAAACCTAAGAATACCAAAGTGGAGCGCAAGCTACGGCCAGCCTCGCAAGCTGTTAATTGTCTCGTGATGACCCTCGTTAATACTCACCGAGGCCGTGGCGCAATAAACAAGGCGATCTCCCCCACCGCTCCCCGCCTTGCGAGTGTGTGGGCAAGTGTTTAAGGGGGCGGATAGGGTTCGGCAGACAGGGGCCAGGCTGAATGGCATTGTGAGAAAAGAGCATCCAGCCCTCTAGTGACCTTACCCACTGACATTAACTTGAAGGTGAAGGGCACGGTGGGAATGCGGTGAATATGGTTCCGAGGCGAGCGATGGGGTTTATTATCGCGCTCGATTTGCCGAACCTGTTTTTGTGCCCTGCTGTGGCACTCACCGGTGTTGGTTACCCTTGGTTGCATTTCTCAGAGCCCAGATTTAGAATTGCGTCGCTCTTTAACGGCTATCCATCATCCATTTTCGTCACCCACCGCACCACCATTCATTATGTACAATGACCGTCATCACGGTCCCCACTATTATTATCTCGTAGGATAAGATCATTGTCTCTGGTTCAAATAGATGTGGGTGAGTCTGTTATAAATTTGGTCACAATAACTGCAGCTCTGAAAGTGTCAGAATTGGAACGAATGGCAAAACAGTTCTGCAATTTAAAAGATATACAAGATTGCATTTTTTTGGCAAAGTATGGAGTATAGCAAAAAAGTATTCCTAAAGTTTTAGCCTTTTCGCTGCAGAATTTTAAATCAGTTTGCACTGCTTTAAGACTGTTTGAATAAATATTGACCTGAATTGCATTATTCATTAGTCCTTAACTTATTAAACAAATTGGCCAAAATGTGCCAGAGATAATAGACATTCCACTACTGATTCGTGAATCTTTATATGGGTTTAAAAAAAGATGTGTTTTCTTAAAAATCATGATGGTAGATTTTTTAAAATGTTTTTTTTAATTGATAGCGTGCCATCATAGTGTGTACAAAGCATGTGTTGCTGCAAGCACTGCATTATTGTTCCAAAGGTTTATTTCCTTAACCACGTGGAAACCGGCACAGGCGCAAAGTGCGATGGAATTTGTTGATATTACCTTATAGCACCCCATCCGTGTTAACAGCTTCCTTGCACGCGATGCGTATCTTGTGCCATATTGAACCTTTGATCATTGGCAGAAGGAAAGGCCAAAATAAATATCATTAAGGTGGGTTGAGCAATGGGTAATAGCCTGCCTTTGCAGAGTCAGTTATGAGCGGGACACCTGCAATTGTGGTAAATAATTTGCCGCATATACAAGGCATTTAACATTTGCACTGCTTGAGTGACAAAAAATGCATTCTCAGGCTCACGTTAAGAATTCATTACATTTTGTATATACTGGTGGTATACATTTAAACAAGTGCATATGAAGTGACCAAAACTGTACAAACAGACATACGACAAACAAAGAAATAGTCATCTTGATTTGAAGTTTTCGTGACTGCAGGAATCCATACTCTTTGGTTCTTTCGGTAAAGTCACGTAGGTAGAAATTAAATAAAATAAACAAATCACGACGTTTCTATCGCAACGTAGAAAAAAAAAATCACGACGTTTCGATCGCAACGTGACTTTACCGAAAGAACCAAAGAGTAAAGAAATAATATAAATGGGAGGATGAAAATCAAACGAAAAAATATTAATTTGTGAAGCAAATTGTGACCTTGAATCGTGACAATTTATAACTATTTAGCCGTGGTGCTGGTGAAGGTACTTTCATAGCGCGGTGGATTAATGTATGAAATGTCAGGGTCTCTTAGAATTACCCCTGTGGCGATGACCGAAGTGAATAGAGCTCACGTTACATGACTTTTACGTACTCAAGGTGCCACAGTCATTGTGCTGTTCTACATGTTAGAACATCCGTATTTGAGAAACGTGAGTAGCAATGTGATGAGAGGATAATGGTTTTACGTTTTGGACAAACAGGACAAAAGATTGATTAAAAATGAAAATAAAATTTTCCAGTCCTTTGTACACAACATCGTTCACAACACATTGACCGTACTTCACCACGTTGGCCAGTGCTTGAGTTAGTGGGGGTTCCAGGACTGGTTCATACATCACCTTGCCACCGATGTTATAGCCGCCACCGAGAATCAAACTGAGCTCACATGGTTGCAAAGTGCGCTCAAAACTGCACCACCGCTCCGCACAACCGTTCATTCATTAATAATATTATTATTCTTTGCAATATTCGTTCACAGTGCAAGCTGCTCTTTTATTATTCGTATATAAAGCGTGTAAACGAAAGCGTCAGGTTGGGATTTTCAAACGGCCCATTCGAGATGGCACTAGATTTACTGCGCACTCAACGGAAAGCCATCCATCACTCAATTGCCTGCTCAATGATCAGCCCCCGCGGGCACGCTTGCTGTTGTAGACAACACAGGCCTGGTGGTTAAGGCGACCCCGGAGGGGAGGCACAGACCCAGGCATGAGACAAGGCAGGTCTCGGGGCTTTGCGTGCTGAGCAGCAGCAGCAACAGCAGCAGGAGAGAAGGTCACCGTGCTGATTGGTAGATGAACAGCACCTGCACACATTGCCGTAAACAACTCAAGACCAATGAAGTGACAGCTCTGGGGAGAAACTAAAACAGTCTACTGAGTGGTAAAACATCTCCCCGAACCTTCTTGCATGTTGATTTCAAAAACTTCAATATCTTTTTTTTTCCAATAAAATACTTACGGTAAAAAAAACAACGGCGATATTTTCACAAATTTGTAAAACTGGAGCATCTTGTGTGATAGTTTTCACACGTTGAACTTACCAGATGAGACATTTTAAAAGGTGAGAGCTGGTTACATTTAGAGTAGTGAATGTCTTCCATGTTTCATAGATTTATTTATAGCTCTTTGTGAATCCACTGCTGCATGATGAATCCCACCATGTTGTGTTTGTCCTAAAGTTGCTTGACCATACTTCTCCACACTGGTCACCTTGGGTTGATGAAAGGTTGACCCTGGCCCAGGTCAAATATCACTCGCCACTGAGAGGCATTGCTGGAAATCAAACTCGCGTTACTGGGTTCACAGTGCGGTGTGCAACCCACTGCATGATACCGCCTCTCCAAATGCCTTTTTAAAACTTTCTTATCGTGACCTTTGTTGGGTCCATCAATTTCCCTGTGCAAACCACAAGTTAATTTATCTGCGCAAATCCCTCCGTGGATGAAGCAACATTAAATAAAAGCCCTGTTATAATGAGAAGTGAAGTCTTTATCTCTCGTCGGACTTGGGTTAATTGAGTTGCACTGAAAGTACACTTTGTCTCACAGTTACGTTTTATATTTTTTACTTTTTTCAGGAGGCTCTCGAACCCGTTGCTGGAGAGGAAGGCTCCGGAGTACACGATGTTCTGCTCGGTGGGGGAGTGGCTGGATGACATCAAGATGGGACGCTACAAGGAGAACTTCACCAACGCCGGCTTGGTGTCGTGGCCTGCCGTCGCACAGATGACACCGGAGTAAGGGTTGGCACTGCCAAATGACACCACCACCACCACCCATAAACAAGACAAAATAACCCCTGTATAGCCTTACCAGGCTTTTGGGGCAAGTACTGTTAACAAGCATCTATGATGGCCGGTACGACACGCAATTTGGCTCCCTAGTGGCGATGTTTAAACACTGCACCAGGTACTCATTTGAGGCTGAGTCGACCTAGGGGAGGCCCAGGACCTGTGCAGATACTCGTCATTGGTGTTGGCCATGAGCGGTAATGAACTCTTGTCGCTGGGTTTGTAGCACAGTGCACTGACAGCTACACGACCACCCACACCCACATCCATTACTCATCTCTGTTTAATGCCTTTGCAAAGTAAAACATTTACAAGCTAGGGTTTCGAAGAGCCCACTAAAAGTTGTGATATTTTTATTATTATTATGAATCTATGTGGTCTTGATCTCTTTGTTTCGTTAGAATCATTAAACGCCTTTTTGGAAAAATTTAAATTTACAACGATATGGTTAAGCGTTAATGTTGATAAATTTACGGATGTAACCTTGTGAGAGTTCACTGAGCCAAGCATCTCTTTTACATAAGAGAAGTGATAAAATGAAACAAATAAAGATGAATAAGCAAAGTAAGGGTATTTTTTCTTAAAAAATAATCAAGTGCAAAACATTATATTTGATCAGTAACAAAACATGTACATCTATAAGCAAAAATGTGTTCATTGTGTTGGCAAGTTGTTGTATGTTGTATTATTGCATGGGTATTTGGAGTTGTGCTGTATGACTCCAATGGGTTTTCGGGTCATACCATGACACAGTCGCTGCCATTTATTTTCACGTGCCGAACTGAATTGAGCTTCGGAAGACGTTCGCAGCACATGGAGTGAAACTTGGGACATCATAGCCCCACAGTAGCGACGACAACACCTGCCTGAAAACACGTAGGAGAGCTGTAGTCTTGACGTTGCATTGTGTGTAACCCGCGACACTCGGTGTGCCTTTCACAGCGACCTGCAGAAAGTGAACGTAACGCTGGCCGGACATCAGAAGAGGATCATGACCAGCATTCAGACACTGCGATCGCAGCTCGCCAACGGCGTGAGGACGTGAGCACGTGGCCAAACCCAGGAAAACCAACGAGCACGCCTGTTGAAATGTCAGGGGGAGCACGTCGCAACGGCCGAGGAAAGGAACGTGCGTCCAAAGCAGCAAAAGGAGATTGTGTCCAGCGAGTGAGACATTGAAATATCGCGCAGTGTGTTGTTCTATGACGGTGAAAACAAGTTTCTAGTGGGGAAAAAAAGGATATGGATTTTTTTGTTATCGCTCAACATTATTTTGCAGAAAGTGATTGCTTCCCAAGGTGTAACATAAGCTTTTCTTTGATATGAAGTGCTTTTCAACGTCTTAATATGAAGTGCACTTATGTAAAAAAACTAAAATAATATCAGTAATTTTATCAATCAGTTACTGACCTTTACATGTTTACAATAAATATTTGATATTTTTCTAGTATCTATTACGTGTATATTAAATTTGCAACAAAAAAAAACAACCAAAAAAACATTTTATCAAAAACTTATGAAAGTGTGCTTGGCGATATTTTTTCGGTTTGTTGCAGACAACACATCTGGCAGGTTACATTTCCCCCCCCCCTCTTGCAAGCTTTGGGTAATGGAGAACTTGGCAGTAGGATCTAGCACATGTTTCGTGTATTTATTTAAATTATTTCATGTACGTGTATTTATTTGCCATTTGCCACATGAAACGTTGATTGTCCTTACATGCGACCGTTAGTTTTCGATAATTATTTTCCAGCACATTTATGTTTATTGCTTAATTCTAAATGTAAACCTAGACCTGGATCGCCTTCGTCGTGTACTTATTGTTACATTGATATACTGGAGGAAGAAAAACGTACTTCGTATTTGCATGTTTTGTTTTATTCTACATATTATATGTCACATCATTTGATTTATCCGCTGTAGGAATGGATACATGATCTGTGAACACCGTAAATATGAAGGGCCGCTCAGAAAGAGAAGAGAAGCATTGTGTTTGACAATCTGTTCTGGTTTTGGTGTTTGATGAAAACACAAAGGCCCGGATAAACTACCAGAGCTTTTGGAAAATACACAGCGGCAAAAGCCAGCCTCAGCCTGGCTTTCTTTAGTTTTTTTTACGCTCAAAGGGCCTGTCCCTAGTTGTGTATGTGGCACACGAAGACGGTGACATTGTAGCCATTTTTATTTTTGCATAGCAGTAGGGCGACGCACGGCGAATTCTGCCAGATTCGTGGAGTGCTCATCTGCGTGTATATTTTACTCGGCGTGAGCCGGCATCGTTACGACCGCTTGCCGCTACGAGATTACTCCCCCGGCACTTAGTGGCTGCGCCAAGTATTTGACAACGTAATCTCACGCATTTGTATATAAGTAAATAAATCGTAGCCCTAATCTACGAAATGACTCGGCGTTCGCTCCACGTCTGCATTCGGTGTTTACAATTGGCACTTTGTACGTCAGTGATTCATGCAAAAATAAATAAGAAAAACTTTTTTGTCAAACGGCAAAAAATATCAGAATTTAATATGCAGTATCAACCGTTTTGTTTGCATTTGTGAATATATATACCAACATATATATATATATAACCCTTTAAAACATTGCTGTTTAGCCCCTCAGGCTTTTTAAGCACAGCCAGTGGAAATTAAATGTGGGCTGTGAGATACCCTGAGTGACTCCTGGCAATACAGGAGCTCGAAAGAACGAAGGGAGCTGCTGCAGGTGTGAACACAGATGTGGTCTTGGTGGCAACACGTTGAGACCACCTCGATTGGTAGGTGGAGTTGCCTAATGGAGAAAGAGAAAAAAAACAATCCTGGCAAAACTCTTGACTGCTTTGGTGGCATAAATTCAAGTTTAGAAAAAAAAATCCCAAGGTCCATATAATTTCAAATGATCAGAATTTTGGGCGTTTTGAGAAAATGAAATGTCCCTTTGGGAATGACATCATCGGCGAATATAATTTATAATTTGTCACGTGATTACGCGTTTAATCAAGGACAATGTTACTTTCACAGTTTTATTAATTTTTTTTATGCTCAATTCACATTTTTCAAAAGGATTTCGAAATTAATTTAAAGTTTAAAATTAGTCTAAATGACAGCTTCTTGCTTTTTTTTGCTTTTAAAATAAAACACTATATTGAATTGTTGTTTCCTTGCGTGTGCTTTTTTGTGTGCAAAGGGAATGTTTATCTTACATTGCTCATGCTTTAACACATTATTCTTAAAGCAGTTTCGACTATGCCGTTCATGTAAACGAATAAAACACATTAATGTGCTTTGTCAAAAGTTCACCAAAAAATGCCCATGCCATTACGTCAATTACATTGAATTTTCCGTACTATTTATCAGCAGGCAATACATTGGTTTAGACCTCATTGGCCTGGTCAATTCTGAATGCCATTCATCTCCGATTAGCACGGTTGGCTACGTACCGTGCGAACGAAAGAAGTTCAACATACGTACGTACAACATTTCAACAAAAAATACGACGCCTTCATTTTCAAAAAGCCAGACACGTCCATTACCATCCAGATAATTGCAGCTTTAATTACCATGAAGTTAATTATTTGTGAGAAAAGCGAAGAGGGTGATAATAAATTGTAATGCACTATCACAGTGCTGCCATCGATTTGTCCGTACAACTGCAGACATGATCGCTTCCTTTTTCCCCTCGTGTAGAACCGCTCTGTAATGTAGATGTCAGCATTAAATAATCTTATTGCTCGTGGCTTCCCGACGTGCAGCTCTCTTGAGCATAAATAAATAAAACATTATTTAATATCAAAGACATTCTGTCATCTTGTGAGGAGAGGGCATCTTTGGAGAATGAGCTGCACAAAGTAGCAGCAGCAGCAAATGAAAGTCGTACAATGTCGATGTTTGAAACTGAGGCTATGCATATTCACACGGGCAGTTAAAAACGGCCTCTCATTAAACTCGTAATGATATCCCAACCACTGTACCATGAATGGTGGTGTCTGCGAGAGGATTTCTTCACTCATCAATCTGAGCATGCAGGCAGATTCAGACAACACGATATGTACATACTCTTTGGTTCTTTCGGTAAAGTCACGTAGGTGTAAAAAATAACATCACGACGTTTCGAGTGCAACACAAGCGGTCGTCCTCAGGCGGAAAAAATATAATCCAGTAATGGAACTGCTTATACCTACGTGACTTTACCGAAAGAACCAAAGAGTATGGATTCTTGCAGTCACGAAAGCTTCAAATCACGTTATGTACAGTTGTACACTCGTTTTAGCTATATTTTCCGGGCATCTGAAATATGTAGGGTTATTATTTTGTACTCCATCCTGTGCCTGTAAAGGAAATGAGATGATGTTATCCATTTGAAATGGCTTTAAAAATTCGAATGGATGATTAATTTTTTTAAATCGATGAGTACCAAGGTCAAAGTGCAGGAGTCGACGGTAGTTCCACTGTTGCTGTATCATGCAGGGTGGTGGTCACTTGCTGCATTATGCAGGGTGGTGGTCACTGTTGTTGTATCATGCAGGGTGGTGGTCTCTGTTGCTACATCATGCAGGGTGGTGGTCTCTGTTGCTGTATCATGCAGGGTGGTGGTCTCTATTGCTGTATCATGCAGGGTGGTGGTCTCTGTTGCTGTATCATGCAGGGTGGTGGTCTCTATTGCTGTATCATGCAGGGTGGTGGGCGACAAGGAGGCCCGATGAAAGAATGATCTTAGTGGCCAAGATGAAGTGTCTGAGAAGGATGCTCAGAGTACGAACACATCAGAGACTGAAGAACGACAATTCGAGAAAATGTTTCATTGTGAACACAACCTCACGAGACAAAAGTCACGGAAAGGAGACCCGCAGTGGTTCTTGACGATGCACACAATACAGGAAGGAAACGGGAGTAGGAGAATTCAGCAGGAGGTGATAGATGGCTCTAGTAAACGATCTTGAGAGAGAGAGGGAGAGGGAGAAAAAAACAATAGTTGAAATTGAGCAAAGCAGTCATACTGACCAGAGAAAGAAAACCATGGCAGGAATGTGTTGTTCATGAACCGATGGAAGGGACGGAGAGATAATGGAAGAGCGGGATTCGTGCCCGCACCTTCCGATTAGTATGGTTGGCTACATAAGGTGCGAAAGAAGTTGGACATACATCGGTCGTATTTATGGGAATCGTACATAGAGGTTTGTAATTAGGTAGAGTACATTGGTTAGATTTGCCCAGCTATCGTTAATGCTCTGAAGCCACTACAAATGTAAGAAAATTCAAATATAACCTCTGGCTATGAAGATGAAGACTTAAAACAATGAATGGCGAACAGTAACCAACTTCTATACGAGGGTCCAAACACGTTTTAACATCATAATAGTTGACTTTATAGTGAAGCCGTAATAGCTTCACATACAAGAGGATGATTGGCCAGTTTGGCATTGGAGTGAGAAAATGGGATTTTGAACATATATCGGAGTTCACAGCCAACAGAAACATGTACATAATGAACACCCTTTCCGTTCACAAATATTTTCCCCGTAAAAATCTTTACGTGCTCAGCCTTATTCGGAAATGGATTGTTAATCATCAGACTGGCTCATGTGTTTTTCCACGCTTATATTTAACTCACTCTGTCTGTTGTATCCTCAAATCTTGTAACTCAATTTTAACCCACTTCCCAATGTCGTATTGACTGCAACCTTGGTATACGTACGTCATACTGATGACGATACTATATTCTATCATTAAAAATAAAAACATATATTTTTAATCATCTTTTTTATATTATGTTTCGGCTTGGGTCTAATTGTCCACGCTCAACTCATGTTGGCTGTAAATCACCACGGCCCATTACGTCATGGCAAGTTTCGGGGCCACTTCCTGGTGTCGTTGAGTTCTGCCATTACTCGTACGGTACATTTCATTAAAACGTGTTTTAAAAAAAGTATTTTTAAATATTACTTATTTTTTCCCCAGAATCACTAAGTGGCTTTTGCATTTTTCACTCGACTTTTATTAAAATACTAACACCAAATTAAAATGCCATTATGGTTTGTGCAATGCCGAGTCTTAATGCATCTATTTGATGTCATGGCATTCATGACATCAAACAACAGCACTTTGCCTCCATGTTTACAATTAGCGACTAATTATACTATAATGTAATGATGATAACATTCAATAAACAATATACAACTCTATTCATAGTTTTACAATTTTTTAAATTACCCTTGACTTTTCAATAAACTATTTATCAAAAAAGAGATAATGTAAATATTTGTTTATGTTGCATGCCAAATATTTCATGGCGCAAATTTGATATTTGATTAATTATCCAAAGTTTCCTTGGGAATTTATGAACTGAACAATTTTTTTTATTTTACCAGGTAAAGCCCAATAAGCTAGCTCTTTTTTCAAAAGCGACCTGGCCATAAATGATAGCTTAACAAAGTGGCGTATGTGGAGATGTATATCAGCCAAATAATCCAATCGCATGTTTTTAAATGTGGAGGAAAATGCAAATATACAGGCGTCAGGGTCGGGATCGAACCCACTGCCACCTGTAGACCAGGGCGAGGTCGTTAACATCTCGCCACCACGGCGTAACAGAACCAGCATCACAATTAACCACCTTTATTAAACCCCCCTCCTCCCCCCCCCCCCCCCCCCCCCCCCAGAAACGATGATGACAGACTTCAAAAATTCGGGAAAACTCCAGCTTCTCAGTCAACATGCTTTCCCACCCGGGCTTAAATACTTCCATTAACCCTCCACTGGACCGCGTATCAACTTGCACTTTGCCTTCACTCAGTCAGCCCCGCAGAGTCGAGGATGGCTGAATGCAGTTTCAATTTACCATAATTTGGGAAGGGCTTTGTGTGGTCTAGAAAGGAAAGTCACAGTGGCCGCACACAGTATCCAGCGACATTCGGACTACTTTATTCATCATTAGAAGCCATGGTCGATCCACTGTTGGATGAATGCCTCCCAATCCGTTTCCATTTCCCATGATCCTGCACACGGGGCAATTACATCGCTCCATCTCCCTCTCCGTTTGCATTCCATCCCCTTGGCTGCTACTCTCACGATCGTCGCTCTTGATCGCCAGGCATCGTCCATTATAGCAAAGTGTCCTGCTCGAAGCCCACTTACTTTTTGCTGCCAGTTAGATGGATGTCTGTATCCTGTGCGTGTTCTCTGATCCACGTTGTTCCTCCTCTTTTTTTTGTCTCTCAATGTAATTTCAAGCGCGAGCACGAACTATGCCAACTTGAGCAAACGGCGATCACCGTGTCCGGTCCGAGCTCTCGCATCCAAAGGCTCGGCAATTTTCCCACAGACGTTCGCCCTTTTCATTTTCTTTTTATTCGCCTTCTTTGTTCAGTTTATTTTCCCCGTGGAAACACTAAAGAATGTCTCCATTGTTGGAACACGTCCAAAATACGTTATGAAGCTAATATTGGCAAGAGGGCCGAGGATTCTCATTGCGGGATATTTTCACTGTTACTCTGATGTGGATGTGCTTGTTTGTGTGTCAATGCTGACTTATTTGTGTATTCACAAACCTGTTTGTTCAAGCGCAATTATGCTTTTGTTTGTTTGCTACAAAACATCAAAGGTTAAGGCTCAAATTTGTGTTTATCTATCTCTCTCTAAAGGAACAAATAATGGAAGAACTTGCATCGAAACAAGATGACAAGAGTCTTGCTGGAGATTGTATTGCGAGAAAAATTAAAACATTTTGTCGATGCATTAATAGCAGACTAAGCTAGACAGAAGATAAAGGATTGAACTGGAGAAATAACACGATTAGAATGTGTTTGTGTGTGCACACATGAACGCTTGCACCAATAACATTTTATATTAGATTCGAAGCTTTCGTGACTGCAGGAATTACTCTTTGGTTCTTTCGGTAAAGTCACGGAGAAATACATTAAATGCATCAATGATGGTTGCTTGTGTTGCAATAGAAGCGTCGTATTCTATTATTTAATTAAATTTATTTCTACGTGACTTTACCGAAAGAACCATAGAGTAACATTTTATATATTTTACATCAATTCCAACGTAATGGAGAGAAAAGCACGCAACTTGTAACGTACAAAGTAGCATACGAAACTATTGTTTGCGGGTCTCTTATTGATTTATAATGCACCTACTGCGACTGTAATAGGGCTCCTGTACGCAACTAGAAAGCTCAGTCAAACGCCAACAGAAAGTGAGAAAACAGTAAATTTATAATTTCACTGGAAATGAGCAAGTGTAGGGACTGCCTAAGTAGCAACAGCCATTGGTTCTGCCTGCGAGCACTGACGTGGATGAAACTGAAAATACAATAAGTTACGCATGTACGTTAGAATACACAATCATTATCATCAGCCGTGATCTATCCACTGGATGAAGGCCTCCACACACCATTGCTGTCTCTATCTTAATTTTTGCACGTGAGCTGACCATGTCTTCTCAAGCACGTTCTCTCATTTGGCTACCATTCTGTCACCAGTCTCGTCCATTGACCATCGTCCCCTCCACAGAAGAGTCCTGCCTACACCCACTTACCTCCCATAATTGCCCAATATGATGCCTCTATATTTTTTTCTTCCCCGATCAGGATAATTCCAAGCACGAATCCCCTCCGCTAGGCCTCGGCAAGGTAAGGTTAAAGGTCAAAAGCAACGAGCCTACCTTGACCCTACCTTTTACCTTACCACAATACAATCACTCTACCCTTACCTTTCACCCTTTAGCAAGGTAAGGTAAAAGGTAAAAACAACGAGCCTACCTTTACCCTACCTTTTACCCTTACCCCATACACATGATCTGATTACAGGGTAATTACTGGGGTACTGCACATGAAAAAGATTTGTAACAGGTAAATGCGAGGTAGAGCGCTTTATTCATATAGAATACTCTCGATAATTCCAATTTTAAATTTAGGCCACGGACTGCGCCACGGAGCTTTTAGCGAGCGGTAAACAAGGTATTTACCGGGTAATACTACGTGCTACCTTTACCCTACCGGGTAATTCTTCCGCGCTACCTTTACCATACGCTTTACCTTACCCCTTGACATGTCGACACCTTTACCTTTACCCTTTTACCCGGTAAAAAGGGTAAATTACCTTAATTTGCCGAGGCCTACCCTCCGTGCCTTTCTGTACGCTTTTTTAATTTTTTTGTTGCTGTTCAAATTCTTTGTCGATGTGCAACTCAACACCTTCCACACGCAAGCACCACACTGGCTGGGCTAGAGCTGCGAGCGTGTTCGTTAGCGTGCTGCTGCGCTGCGAACGTGACAACCTGGGGTTGATTTCATGGCCATGACAAACATCAAGAGCGACTGATACTAGTCCTATCCGAACTGGTGCTGGCCCCCCTCCTCTTGAAAGCAAGCCGAAGTATGGCCAAACCACTGACCGCATGTCCAAAACAGCGTAGGGATGGCTTGCAACCCAACGACCGATTGAGAAATGGCTGTAAATTAATAAAGCACTGCACTGCAGCTGTCAAGGCGGGTAATTGTGATTGTACATTGCTCGCACTGCGGGCTTATTTAGCATTCTGGAAGGAAACAAACCCCCCACAAATCGTAGCTGTTTTTTCATTGCGTTTTTTTCTGTCCACATATGCTTACGCCACAACACCTTATGCAATCCCACAAAGACAAAGATCCCCCGTATAGCCTGAACCAGAGGTGTGGACTCGAGTCATGTGACTTGGACTCGAGTCAGACTCGAGTCATGAATTTGATGACTTCAGACTCGACTTGGACTTGCATAACAATGACTTTGTCCCACCTCTGAGGTGTGGACTCGAGTCATGTGACTTGGACTCGAGTCAGACTCGAGTCATGAATTTGATGACTTCAGACTCGACTTGGACTTGCATAACAATGACTTTGTCCCACCTCTGGCCTGAACAGACTGTTGGGGCAAGTGCTGTTAGCGAGCACATATGAAGACCGGTATCGTAGCGCAGTGCGCTAACCACTACACACGACTGCTCCTCACTGCAATCCCACATATGCACTCATACACAAAGACAACATTTTCACAGGTAACCTGCTGTTAGTGAGCACCTATTAAGGCCAGTACACGCACACCGGGGTGGTGTGGTGAGCACAACACACGGTTGCCTTTGTCTCTACATAACCCTTACATATGTACATATATAAAGATAAAGATCCCCCGTATAGCCTGAACAGACTGTTGGGGCAAGTGCTGTTAGCGAGCACCTATGAAGGCCAGCACGGAACACGAGGGGTGGGTGGCCAGCACCACGCCCGACCGCCTTTGTCTCCCCAGTGGCGATGTTTATATACCGCACCAGGTACTCATTTGAGGCTGAGTCGACCTAAGGGAGGCCCAGGACCGGTTCAGATAATCGTCACTGGTGTTGGCCGTGAGCGGGAATCGAACCTAGGTCGCCAGGTTTGTCACGCAGAGCGCTAACCACTACACCACCGCTCCCCACACACACACGGAACATGTAAGCTGTAATTAATCAAGTATAATATTTAATGAAATATACTTTTAAATGAACGTGTCGTTGCTCATAACCACAACACCTGCAAGTCTGTGTTCATTTGAGGCGTTTGACGTATGTACAAAAAATGCACATAGTGCAATATAGTGCAATTATCTTACGCAACGCTGGGGGAATGCCGGCCAATTCTGCACGAACGTAAATAAATAAGATAACAAGCGTTTACGGTTATCTCATGTTTATGCAACAAGAAATATATAATAACAATATATAACAACAATACGAATATTTTACAGAACTGAAAGAAGCGTTGCACAGCACTGAATCCACTATGGGCAGTGCCGGATTATCCCCGTAGCAAAAGTAGCTACACATGTAGTAGCTACACAAGTAGTAACTACACACGTAGTAGCTACACACGAAGTAGCTACACACGTAGTAGCTACACACGTAGTAGCTACATATGCTACGGGCCCCGCACTTTCAAGGGCCCCGCGCTAAATACTTTCAAGCTATCAATTCCGGTCCGGTGATTCTGCACTTGCTCGATTACTATAGTACTATATTGCCTTCAACTTTTATGAACGACTGGGTGTTTAAGGTAGCGATTTGTCGTATTAACTGTCCGTATAGCAAATGAAAAACTTTCAATTACTTTACTATGCAAGTGAAAAAATGTGTGTGTTTTAATATTTACGTGTTTTTTATTGTATTTAGGGCCCCTTTATAACATATGCCACAGGCCCCAGCACTAGCTTAATCCGGCACTGACTATGGGGTGGACTATTCTTTTGGGCTCGTTACGTGTTTCACCTTGGCAAATATGCGAGAGTCATTTGGCAATAAGGACGACGGTATCAGTGCGGCAGTTTCGAGGGAGGCTGTGGCTGAGAGTGCTGGTCCCTGGACACGACACTTTCGTCTGGGCCATAAACACCCACGTGGAGTGGACACGACCTTGTACACGAGTCCCGAGGCACGGAAACGATAAACAATACCAGGTAACCTTAGCGTATAGTGGCTGTCCATCCATAACAGTTTATTTATTTATCTATCAGAGCTTGTCTTGTCGAAAATGCCCAGTATTAAGTGCATATATTTTTTATAGTTTGGCGACAAGGCTTGCCTGATATATGATGAGTGTACGAAAAAAAAGTTTATTTTTACAACAAAGTAGCAGAAGAAGAGTAAATAGTATTGAATGCTGTGTCATTCATATATATTTTTCTTTGTGGAGCCAGACTGAGTTAGGTTTATAGCGATGCCAACCACAACCCAAGAGCAGCACTTATTCCGGGAAACTTGGCTACTTTGTGCTGGTGCCGGGACTAAATTGAGAGGCGATTTGAAGTGATTTTGTAAAACTAAATTTGATCATGAAAAGCAGCATACCACTGTGCCTAAAGAGGAACGATGTTAGTCATTGCGTATTCTTATTTACTTACCTTAGCTCCCTGTGAAGCATAAGGCCGCAACAAGCCCACCCCATGCCGGACGGTCTTTAGCAGCTTTCTCTCATTGCGTATTACCAACTATAAAAAAATGGATCATAAACAAAGTAGACAGTTTATATTTGAAGTTTTCGTGACTGCAAGGATCCATACTCTTTGTTTTTTTCGGTAAAGTCACGTAGGTAAAAAATAAAATAAATAAAAATGAAGACAAATAAATTAAATCACGACGTTTCGGGAAGCAACACAAGCAACTTTACCGAAAAAACCAAAGAGAAAGTAGACATTGACAAACAATGTAGAACAACGTCTGAAACGCGCGCACAAAGACTCGACGACGTGGTGTTCACGCTTAGGAATCATACTGAGAGACAGAAAGAGGGGCACATGGACCAGAGAACAAATGCAAGTGAGATAAATCATTTTGACTGTTAGGAAAAGTAAAAACAACAGGGGCACGCGCAGAACATGTGACCAGAAGGGTTGTTCACTGGCAGTTGAACGGGTGACAGAGTGTCCGCCAAAGCAGGTCACACACCGTAGAAGATATACCGAAGACATAGAAAGATGAGCGAAAATCAATGCAGAGAGGTAAAATATATTCTATGGTCAATTGTCTTGTTATGTTCATGATGGATTTGAAATTGTGGTAATTTTTGATGAATTCACGTTTCTTTCATGATTTCATAAACCGGACGACCACTGTGGAGATGGAGCAATGAGATCAGGAACTTGATGGATTTTTGATTCGTAAGACCGTGATGGATGGTGATGATCTTGGGGAGGTGCTCATTCACCAGTAGATAAATCATGGCTGATGATGATAATACGACTACCACTACGTTTCACTCGGTGTCACTCCACTTGCAGATGAAGGCCTCCCACATGCCATGTCGGTCATGGGCGTTGTTTGTGTTTGACCATCATCACCGCACTGGCCATTGCGGTTTGGTGAGTGGAGAGGCTTGGTGCCGGTTGTGATATATTCGCCATTCATGTTAGCCGTGTACAATAACGCATTAGTTAATGCGGATCGCAAAGACATCGGTTTACCCAACAAGGATATGTACACACGTTTGCACGTATGCATCCAGGGGGAGCTGTTCCGAGGGGGATGAGATGGAGCGATTAAATCAAAGTCTGTCTAAGGAGCACCAACAAAACAAACACAATTCTGCTTAGGACTGGAGATAATATGACAGCACGGAGAACCCTTTGCCTGATAACGACCGCTTGTGTTGCGATCGAAACGTCGTAGTTTTTTGTTATTTTTTTGTTATTTTCTTTGAACCTATCTACGTGACTTTACCGAAAGACCCAAAGAATGTGAATCCCTGCAGTCACGAAAGCTTTAAGTCAAGATTTAACACGGAGAAGCCTTCATGTGGCAATCAATCGAGAGTGGCTGATAACTCACACATTACGGTCCAGGAAGGAAGAACTCGTGCGGAGATGGTTAAAGAGTGAGCTGAGGTCACGACCCCGGTTGAGATATCTGACATCCACAGGGAAGCAGTTCTCCAGTCGAGGTTTCGCGGTGCGGGTATTAACTAACATGGCACTGCTCTGCAGTATGGCTGATGTTACACAGTGCATTACTTTCCACCCCGAACCCCCAAATGACTAAATCTTGATCAACCCAAGGATTGTATGTATATACGTGCACATTCCCCTTGCACATACCTAAACGCATTGTGAAACATCAGGGATATGCACATGGGGAATTAAGGAAAGGCTTTGTCTTCTGGGAGGAGTGACGCACGAACCCTTATGAAACGGAAGTCAAGAGGATGTGCTGGGTTGTAGCACCAGGAATAATGGGGTGGTTTGTGAGGTAACGTTGAGTTAAACAAGGGGTGGAGAGGCAGTGCCTTTATTAGGGGCGCTATGCTTTGAGCTAGGAAATCCGAGTACGATTCTCAGCCACAGCTAACACGCGCGGGCGAGCGCTATCTGGACCCGTCCTGGGCCAACCTCTCTATCAGCTCGCATTGACCAAGATGCTGAAGTGCCGTCAAACAAACCCCATGATCGACACAGCACTGGGAGTGCATTCGTCAAGCAGTGAATTAAGGAACTACTGCAGGAGAGTACTTTTTTTAAATTGCATTCTATTGGAGAAGGCGTGTGGATGTGAGTGAACTTCAGCGTGCTGTAGCTGATGCAGACTAGACAATGCCATAACAATAGAAACCAAACATGTCAATGTGCCCGTGCAACAATGAGTGTTGGAACACTCCCACATGCCCAGTCACCGCATGCCCGAGCAGCTTCTGTTTTGCTGGATGGAGGTGGCTAAACATGCACGACACGGGCTGGAGAAGAGATGGCCTGATGCGGTACAGGAAGCTGTGGAGCTGAGTGGACTTTCCGTAGACTGGTACCAGCGGTGTCAAAATTGGCCTCTGTGGAGGAGGCTCGTGAAGGATGCTACTGGGCAGTTGGAGGCAGTCGCCCTCCAACAGCAACGGAGGGCAGATGAGTGACGCTCACAACAACGAGCTGAGCGCCGGGCATATACAATGCAGCAAGTTGGCAAAGTAGGGGGCACAGCTGGTGCATCTGCCAGTCATGTCAGTCAGTCAACACATGGCACCGGGGTCTGCCCTGTGACCTCCTGCCAACAGCGAGCCTTCGACACTTCGCGTGGCCTAAAAGTGCACCTGGCCTGGCACAGACGTTGTAGTCGCATCACCGCCACTTAATGGCGGGTGTTGTTGTTGCTGGTGTTATAACAATGCCGTCCTTGATGGTCCAAGTGAGGCTACAAAACAGGAGCACCTCCGAAAGCACCTGAACGGAAAGCGCGATGGAGCCACCGAGGCGAGGAAGGAAGTTGAGTGATGAATGCGAACGCCAGGTTATAGATAGATAAATATATAACGTCAAACCCACATGAGGGTGGAAGGCAGCTTGTGCTCGGGCAACGGGGGCGGCTTCAATCACTCACCGCTCATGGCGAGACTGCACCGCCCATGTCCCATGGAGGGCAGAACAAGAAACTTTACCCTGAGACACTTGGGAGAGCCGTACATCGCATTCCATTGACGGCGACAACCCACTTTGAGGGTTGTCCGAGAGCGATTTCCAGAACGATGATCGTGGGACCAAAATGTTTGAAAGGAAAACACACACACACACACGAGACGAAACGTCTCAGCAGAACAGCAGCCAACGCTCCGCCGCTTTCCGTGAGTTTCCACAAGTCCCGTAGAGCCCACGTATCTCACGGCAGGTGCGGGGCACGACCATGAGAATGTGCGCCACGAGCTGAACGTGCCCAGATAATCTTCTTGGTTCTTTCGGTAAAGTCACGTAGAAGGGAAGTAATAAAATAATAAAAATAAAACATAATAAAATAATTATCACGACGTTTCGGCCACAACGCAAGCAGCCGTCCTCAGGTGAAGAATGAAACACCACCAAGTTTGCCCAGAAAAGCCGACGAGCCGTACTACCGGCATTTTTTTGTCAACGCTCCACGTCCCTTACACTACATTGTGCACCAAGGCCGTAGTCATGGAGTCAACATTGGGGGGGGACCAAATCTTCCAGGGGGTCTAAGGGGTCCCCCCCCCCCCAGAAAAAAAAATCTAAATTTGAAAACGAATTTCCTGCCTAAAGTATAAAAAAAATCACTGACACATTGGATGGACTTTAAATTTATTTTTTACAATAATGTCTAATCGTGTATTGTATTACATTGCTCTGTTGTTTCTTTTTTTTACCATTTCTTGTTTCATTGTATGCAATGGCAGAGATTAGGGATTAGACAGGATGGACTTTTTATTTATTTTTTACAATAATGTCTAATCGTGTATTGTATTACATTTCTCTGTTTTTTCTTTTTTTACCATTTCTTGTTTCATTGTATGTAATGGCAGAGATTAGGGATTAATAAATTACAACCATAATCACAATTATATAAACAGAAATCTATTTTATAACAAGATATTGGGGGGGACATTTTTAGCATACTTGAATATTGGGGGGGATGTCCACCCCCAAATATATATAAATAATTACGACCTTGTTATGCACACACGGTGCGAATGAAAGTACTATTCGAAATGGCACACTTAACCGCTACCACCTGTAATTGCTTATCCGTACATACGAACCGGTATTGATGTGGTTCAATGCTATTCCAATGGTTAGTCTGACCACTAAAACCAGCTTTGGAAAAGGAGCGTGTGGGAAGCCCCGTGCAACTGTTGAGAATATTCGTCACTGGGAATCATAAGATCCATAACTTTCCTTCACAATACCCGAGGATTCTGGTATGCAAGGGAGCAATACGCCCTGTTATTATCCTCGCTCATCGGCAGTGACAGACATGTTTCATGATTGCTCATGGTTCAGTGGAATGTGTACAATATTCATTAATTTGTGTAATTACTGCCTGTCAAAACTGCAACTCACTCACTGTGTGCAATGAACGCCTTTGCATTCACCCGGTTGTTACGGATCGCTGAGCGCAGAGAGAGGCACGAGACATGACTGCACATTGTTTAACGACGCACACATTAACTGTTCGTTGAAAGTTGTCAAACAAAAATAAGTCACGTACGTATGTGTGTATTTTAAATGTGTTCAATAAATATTCCTTGTTAACATGTTATAGAGAAAGTAAACACCGTTAATTCCAGGGGTAAGTTTGTTCGTGAGCTCCTTTTAAAGCTGGTATCCAATATTAAAAGGTCTAGTGGGTCCTGTACTACACCCGGACACCTTTTTCTCTCCGGTACTGATGTCAAAGCACGACAAATGTTTTTTTTTTTGGTCCAAAAGAGACTCGAATCCCATGCAGACTGTTTGGGCAAGTTTTATTCGCTAGCTCCTATCATTGTCAGATTGTCAGCATTTAGATTGTCAGCATTATGCATGGCGGGATCGTGTGGCGAGCACCACACCCAAACTGTGTTGTCTTCCCGTTGCTTATGCGTTACATCTTGCACAAGGTTGTATTTGTGCTTGAATCAACCTTGAGAAGGCTCAGGGCAACTTCAGACACCGCTTTCCATTAATGTTAGCCATGGACGGGACTCAAACTCTGGTCACCAGATTAATGGCACGGGGCTCAAACCACTGAACCGCCACCCGCTCAGACTTAAAAAAAAACGCGCATGTACGTACAAAGATCCCCTGTATAGCCTTAACAGACTGTAGGGGCAAGTGCTGTTAGCGAGCACCTATGAAGGCCAGCACGGCACACGAGGGGGTGGGTGGCCAACACCACGCCCGGCCGCCTTTGTCTCCCCAGTGGCGATGTTTGCACATCGTACCAGGTACTCATTTGCGGCTGAGTCGACCTAGGGGAGGCCCAGGACCGGTTCAGATAATCGTCACTGGGTGTTGGCCGTGAGCGGGAATCGAACCCGGGTCGCCAGGTTTGTAGCGCAGCGCGCTAACCGCTGCACCACCGCTCCCCACATGTACGTACGTACACACTTACACACACACAGCATACCGAGACTTCTGTGTCACCCCCATGGCATACATGCTCGAGTAAATGAAAGAATTGTCGATACAATCTGCAGTTAATTCAGAAACGTCAACAAAATCTAGGGTGGGTGGGTGGGTGGAAAGTGCCCTCCGAGATCAGAGACTCGTTTCTCCCGTACGAGGGCTCACAAAGTGGCCCTTTTTAAGATACGCGCACCAGGAGGGCGCCAGTAGAGTCATAGCGCACCGGTGCTGCAGGTGAATGTTTGGCGATATGCCAAGGCTGCTGCTACAGCGACGACAAGGTTGGCTGGAAAGGTGTGTGCGGGTAAGGTTTGTCGTGCACTTGCGAATGCAAGCGGCAGAATCTTCTGCAGTCTTCAGCCGCACCGAACCTCACAAAAATAATATTCAGGGCCTACCTTGGCTCCTCCCACACTCAACCAGTATATATACGAATACTGTTTTAATGGAAGTTCTCTCACTTGATACAGCTATCGTGCTGTGACGGTTCCACCTGAAGACGGAAGCTTGTGTTGCCTCTGAAACGTCGTGATTTTTATTTAATTTTTATTTTACTTTTATTAATTTAAATTTTTTACCTACGTGACTTTACCGAAAAAACCCAAGAATATGAATCCTTGCAGTCACGAAAGCTTCAAATCTAGAATTAGTCTTCCAAGACATTTTATTTTTTTATTTTTACAGGGCACGGGCACAAATTTTCCAAATATGCAAATGTCACTGCAAATTCACTCAATTTAGATTATACATGGCAATGATCACCCCCTACTGGCAGACTAATGCCCATTTGGAGAGCCAGGTGCAGTCACCTCATGCACACAGTGACAGCTGCCACTGGGGGTGTCCTTCCAAATTTGCTGAGATGAGCTGTGACGTAAAGCGATCTGAGCCGTCCTGGCATATAGGAGGGCGAAATATAAAAAAATGCCTCATTCGGCTAATTTGTATGTGCATACATACGTATGTGTATATATAAATAATTATACATGTATGTCCTGCATATGCAATGACTAGTTGTTTATTACCTTGCCATAAAATGTCATCCCATTCAGCGTTTGATTCATATAAACACTGGTAAGTGAAGATGACAGTTTGATGGGGGCGCCGCAGACATCACATTCATTTTCACCGCTTGTTTATTTTCTAAAGAACTAAACGAATGTTAACAATTGTTCTAAATCCATTACACTTCCAAACAGTGTAAAAAAAAGTAAGCTGTCCCTACGAAATTTCCTAAACATTTTCCTGAAAGAAACATAAAAAAGACATATTCCCTACTGAAGAAAAATAAAAATTCTGCCGGCAACAAATCTTACCCGTGATTATTTGCATAACGAATAAGTGGGAAATTGTGAAAACATGTTAATGTAACACACACACACAAGTTGCGTTTCTGAACGGAGAGCATTTTATCTTGGCGTGAAGGGTTGGCGTGTTAATCGCGCACAGAAAGTTAAACACCACTCAGCTGTTTTCCTTTGTAGTCCCGTTGGTTGCTGCTGCTGCTGCTGCCGCTGCAGAAAAGAAATCAAGACCATGGGACTGTGTACGTAGTGACGTGCGGCTATGCCAAGTCAAACGGTCCCTCCGGTGCTCACATACAGCGCCATTAGCACTTGGGAGCAGCCTTAACGGAACCCAGTTTCCCCCCCCCTCCCCCCCCTCTAATTTGTTGAGGCTAATATTTCAGGGTTTCACCTCCAGTGTTGTGTTTGTAAGGGGGTCAAGAGAGACGAGAAAGGGGGAGGGTCTGGGGGGGAGGGACGTGAATAGAAGGGAGGGCTTCATTGGTCATACTAACATTTGCTTGAGATCTTTCCCCAGGTACATTTTTTAATCAAGAGAATTGTGCCTAAGTGGGCCAAATCAATCGGACATTAAATGTTTTGTTAGTCACTTACATGTTATAATCATTTACAGCCTTGCTCGGCGTAGGGTTCTCCATGCCATATCGCGACTCTTCTTTGATCACCAACCCCACACTGACCGATGATTCAAGTTTCAAGTTTCATGTATTAGGTATAGCCCTGTGAGCCATTCGGCTCTTGAATCGGGTGCAACCGCAACAAACAAAAACATGAACAAGAAAACATCTTAAAGTGACTATGTGCAAACAGAAAATCCAAGAAAAGACAGCAAAATATTGCAGAAAAAGCACCGTACACCAACGCTGTGTGAAAAAATCCCAGTGGGATGCAAGTCAAATGATGGTCGGCGGACGAGGAGACAGAGCAGCCAGAGATCGGCCCAGATGTCAGTTGTAGCTGACGTCCTCGCTCAGGTCCTCTGTTGCCAGGAATTGCACCCAAGTCGCCGGATTTATATTTTAGTGAACGAGCCACTGCGCTCCCATCTCTCCAATAGTTACTTAGATAGATAGATCCGTAGAGATTTTATTTATTTCAGAAGGGCACCAATGAGCTGCTTGGCTCTATATTAAAGGCGTCCTTGCGGTACAGATGTAATAAAAAATGCATACTTTTGAAATGTACGTCATGTAACATTTGGGCATTGAATATGCTTTTGGAAGCGTATAATGCACTATTCAGTCTCAATCGTGTTATCATTGACATGAAACAATGTATTACATTTTATGATCACTTTAAAAAGATGGGAAATAAAAGTGAGCCAAACTTAAAGACACTGAATCTTGATTTGAAGCTTTCGTGACTGCAGGAATCCATACTCTTTGGTTCTTTCGGTAAAGTCACGTAGGTATAAAAAAAAAAAATAACGACGTTTTGGGCGCAACACAAGCGTCCATCATCAGGTGTTGAGTGTTACCCCTTTCCCACCTGATGATGGACGCTTGCGTTGCGCCCGAAACTTCGTGATTTATTTTATTTTATACCTACGTGACTTTACCGAAAGAACCAAAGAGTTTGAAGACACTGTTTCTATCACTGTCTCAATCTCGAAGCATTGTGATTGTCCATCCCTTGTCATCTGACTGTTAGGAATCATGCATTTGAAATAACAAAACTTTGAAACGCAGATGTTACGAACATACTATTCATTATACGCAGTAATGGCGATGTGTGTTTGCGCAGTGTGCTGTGAACCCGACGGACATGAGTTCAATTCCTCGCCACAGCGAACGTCAGTGACAAGTAACATCAGAACTGGGCCTGCACCCACACCCGTTCGTCAACCCGCACGAATCACCACAGGGAGGTACGATCAAACAACTGCCGTAACTGACATGGCACAACACACACCTTTATCCAGCAGTGGATTGTCGTAAGGGTTGTAAATTATTATTTAACTTAGATTAATATGAGACTTACACCTCGGCCAATTATAAGGCCAGTCACCTCTGTGTTCCTGTCTCAAATCATTATGGATTGCCCATCATCTATCTAGTTAGCCAAATCAACAAGCTTATATAATTCACGCATGTTAGAAAATAAACTTTCGAACATACGTACATTTTTATCACATTGTTATTTAACAAACAAAAAACATCTGTGCAGTGCTGTGAATATTGCTGTAAACAACACTGAGCTTCCAGGAGGTTCTCTGCTACATGACCGAAGCACCCTAAATGTGTTTGGGTAGTGTTTGTACGGGAGACCACCACGGATTGTCGGGTGTTGTAGTGGTGGGGAAATTAGGTGGGCGGGATATGGAAGCGTTGAGTGTTACCCCCTTTTATCTGTGGGGGCGGGGAGGGGTTAGTCTGTTTTCCTTCCACGTGCAAACACTCATTAATGGGATTGGCCAAAACATCCCGATGCAAAACCCTCCCGAACACGAGTATCGAGACTCGGTGAAAGTTTTCACGGGTAAATAATTGGAATTATTTCCAATGGGCAAGGAGCGCATTGAAGACCTCTTACTTGTTCGGGCTCCCTGCTCAGCACGCGCACATCTGTGAGAACAGGCGCGCGACGCAGATATAATTGAACCGCTTCTGATAGCGCAAATCAAAATGTACTGACTGTAAACACCGCGAGAAAAGGACAACTAGGATATCAGTTCCCCGAATACCAATGTTAACATTCCCACAGTCCGTTTTGTTTTATCAATACAGAATTTACCAATCCTTTTAAATCAAATGCATGTAAAATATTTACGTGCGCCAAGAGGTTATGTTGATTGGCAGATGTGAAAAGTTGGTCCATATCACCTGAGGCTATATTAGAGTATTGAAAAAACGTCAAATCGAGGAGGTTAAGCTGATGCTGAATAATTTTTTTTACTCTCTTCAGTGTTCCATGTTGAACACAAATCAAAGTGGAATCCCGCTCAATTGCACGGGGCATCACTCGTCTCCAGTTAACATGCAGTGGTGGGCATTCCATGTTACCACGTCAGGGGCAGGTGATTCGAAAGGACAGTCACTGCTGATTTCCGCATGAAGTGGTACCTATTCTATTGACCCTCGGGGGACAAAGAGCTGAGTCTACCCCGGACTGGGATTTGAACTCTCGACCTTTCCAATTGCGAGCCCCCCACGATGCTTACCGACCAGTATTCCATCGTAAATAACATAAAGAGGGGCTTATTACCTTGCTATACGCCCCATATGCTAGAACATCCTAATTTGGTCAAAAACACTGGGGCTATTAGAGTTGGCATGGTGGCTACAGCATATCAATTCAAGTGCCCGTACCGCTGCTGTTCCTGGAACCGTCAAGTCCCATTAAACTCTAGCATCCATCTTGAATCACATTAAGCCCATTATAAAGAGCTACACATTTCCCATTAAGAGCCTCTCAGCATCAAACCCTCTTCTAAATCAAATGTCCCAACTGTGTGGGCTTCGCTCGCGCATCACAATAACCGGCGGATGGACATCGTGTAGACCAATTAACGACAGAAAAAAAAACCCCACATCTTCAACAACGCAGCGCTCACCGTGAAACCCACCGGGCCACGCGCACTAAGCCAGCCACAACAGTGGCGCAACTTAGGAGGGTGCAACGGGGATTAGCAGGATGGCGTTTGAGTATGGTGGGGGATTGAAGCAGAAATGTCTCGCTCCTCAATTAATTGAACTCTATTCACCCACGGCCCCAACAGCCCCCCCCTCCCTTTTCCCCGTGCCGTGATCCGTTACCAAGCAGCGCAGGTGTTTAATCCTCGTGCCAAGCAGCATGTCGTAACGCAAGCCACTCAAAGCCCGCTCACCGCATTGAGTCAACTCTAGAGCCAGAGAGGGTCACCAAGCGCCAGCGTTCAGGACAATGGTCCCCATGTGTGTGACCACAGGCAAGGTGGCCTCGGTGGTTTTTTTCAATGTCAAGAGAGCCGCAACGATTGTGCGGAGTGGTTGAAAGCCTGATGTCATGCTCGTACGTGCAGACGATGATAATTCTGCGTTACATGACGCATGCGTCCGGAGACTTTGTCCAAATGTTGGGCAGAACAAAGCGGCTTCTCAGTCTGACGAGTCGCCTTCGTGAACGAATTCACTTGGTTAAATAGAAAACAAGTTGTACAGCGTAAAGTGCAACTCGCCATTAAACGTACTGTTAACAAACCGACAAGTATATTACATACGGTGTTGCTGGTTATGTATACCGTATATTATATAGACACACACCATTATTGTTAATGTTCACAAATGATGACTTAACCGATCAGATGACATTGCTCAATATGAATTCCAAGCAATGGGTTAATAGCGTAATCTAAAGAGAATTTTTTTGTTTCATTTGCACGGCATAATCTTTTTTTCTCCGGTCGAACCGTCGAAGTGTTCGTCTGAATAAAAAAAAAACCGCACAGCGCCCATTAGGAATTCAACGTAAAAATGTAAATCATACTATGGGGACCTCATTTGCCAGTAAAAATATGATAATTGGTTCTTTACCCTTCTATCTGGCAACAAAACTGACACCTTTTTGCAAGGAGTCATGTTTGCATAGACCGCAATACCTGCAGTCATAAATACAAACAAAAGACATAACTCTGATAATGTGCACTGTCCCTGAAGTTGATTGGTCCACACCCGAGACAGCTTTCCTTCGAGCCTAGTCTCATATGGGTTGGACCAGATGACGCCAAAAGGCGCACAACTCAAGGACAATGCACCATCAGAGTATGAGAGCTCGGGGCAAGCATCTACACTATGGGGACCTCATTTGCCAGTAAAAATATGATAATTGGTTCTTTACCCTTCTATCTGGCAACAAAACTGACACCTTTTTGCAAGGAGTCATGTTTGCATAGACCGCAATACCTGCAGTCATAAATACAAACAAAAGACATAACTCTGATAATGTGCACTGTCCCTGAAGTTGATTGGTCCACACCCGAGACAGCTTTCCTTCGAGCCTAGTCTCATATGGGTTGGACCAGATGACGCCAAAAGGCGCACAACTCAAGGACAATGCACCATCAGAGTATGAGAGCTCGGGGCAAGCATCTACACTATGGGGACCTCATTTGCCAGTAAAAATATGATAATTGGTTCTTTACCCTTCTATCTGGCAACAAAACTGACACCTTTTTGCAAGGAGTCATGTTTGCATAGACCGCAATACCTGCAGTCATAAATACAAACAAAAGACATAACTCTGATAATGTGCACTGTCCCTGAAGTTGATTGGTCCACACCCGAGACAGCTTTCCTTCGAGCCTAGTCTCATATGGGTTGGACCAGATGACGCCAAAAGGCGCACAACTCAAGGACAATGCACCATCAGAGTATGAGAGCTCGGGGCAAGCATCTACACTATGGGGACCTCATTTGCCAGTAAAAATATGATAATTGGTTCTTTACCCTTCTATCTGGCAACAAAACTGACACCTTTTTGCAAGGAGTCATGTTTGCATAGACCGCAATACCTGCAGTCATAGATACAAACAAAAGACATAACTCTGATATTGTGCACTGTCCCTGAAGTTGATTGGTCCACACCCGAGACAGCTTTCCTTCGAGCCTAGTCTCATATGGGTTGGACCAGATGACGCCAAAAGGCGCACAACTCAAGGACAATGCACCATCAGAGTATGAGAGCTCGGGGCAAGCATCTACACTATGGGGACCTCATTTGCCAGTAAAAATATGATAATTGGTTCTTTACTGGCAAATGAGGTCCCCATAGTGTAGATGCTTGCCCCGAGCTCTCATACTCTGATGGTGCATTGTCCTTAAGTTGTGCGCCTTTTGGCGTCATCTGGTCCAACCCATATGAGACTAGGCTTGAAGGAAAGCTGTCTCGGGTGTGGACCAATCAACTTCAGGGACAGTGCACATTATCAGAGTTATGTCTTTTGTTTGTATTTATGACTGCAGGTATTGCGGTCTATGCAAACATGACTCCTTGCAAAAAGGTGTCAGTTTTGTTGCCAGATAGAAGGGTAAAGAACCAATTATCATATTTTTACTGGCAAATGAGGTCCCCATAGTGTAGATGCTTGCCCCGAGCTCTCATACTCTGATGGTGCATTGTCCTTGAGTTGTGCGCCTTTTGGCGTCATCTGGTCCAACCCATATGAGACTAGGCTCGAAGGAAAGCTGTCTCGGGTGTGGACCAATCAACTTCAGGGACAGTGCACATTATCAGAGTTATGTCTTTTGTTTGTATTTATGACTGCAGGTATTGCGGTCTATGCAAACATGACTCCTTGCAAAAAGGTGTCAGTTTTGTTGCCAGATAGAAGGGTAAAGAACCAATTATCATATTTTTACTGGCAAATGAGGTCCCCATAGTGTAGATGCTTGCCCCGAGCTCTCATACTCTGATGGTGCATTGTCCTTGAGTTGTGCGCCTTTTGGCGTCATCTGGTCCCACCCATATGAGACTAGGCTCGAAGGAAAGCTGTCTCGGGTGTGGACCAATCAACTTCAGGGACAGTGCACATTATCAGAGTTATGTCTTTTGTTTGTATTTATGACTGCAGGTATTGCGGTCTATGCAAACATGACTCCTTGCAAAAAGGTGTCAGTTTTGTTGCCAGATAGAAGGGTAAAGAACCAATTATCATATTTTTACTGGCAAATGAGGTCCCCATACTGTAGATGCTTGCCCCGAGCTCTCATACTCTGATGGTGCATTGTCCTTGAGTTGTGCGCCTTTTGGCGTCATCTGGTCCAACCCATATGAGACTAGGCTCGAAGGAAAGCTGTCTCGGGTGTGGACCAATCAACTTCAGGGACAGTGCACATTATCAGAGTTATGTCTTTTGTTTGTATTTATGACTGCAGGTATTGCGGTCTATGCAAACATGACTCCTTGCAAAAAGGTGTCAGTTTTGTTGCCAGATAGAAGGGTAAAGAACCAATTATCATATTTTTACTGGCAAATGAGGTCCCCATAGTGTAGATGCTTGCCCCGAGCTCTCATACTCTGATGGTGCATTGTCCTTGAGTTGTGCGCCTTTTGGCGTCATCTGGTCCAACCCATATGAGACTAGGCTCGAAGGAAAGCTGTCTCGGGTGTGGACCAATCAACTTCAGGGACAGTGCACATTATCAGAAATTATGTCTTTTGTTTGTATTTATGACTGCAGGTATTGCGGTCTATGCAAACATGACTCCTTGCAAAAAGGTGTCAGTTTTGTTGCCAGATAGAAGGGTAAAGAACCAATTATCATATTTTTACTGGCAAATGAGGTCCCCATAGTGTAGATGCTTGCCCCGAGCTCTCATACTCTGATGGTGCATTGTCCTTGAGTTGTGCGCCTTTTGGCGTCATTTGGTCCAACCCATATGAGACTAGGCTCGAAGGAAAGCTGTCTCGGGTGTGGACCAATCAACTTCAGGGACAGTGCACATTATCAGAGTTATGTCTTTTGTTTGTATTTATGACTGCAGGTATTGCGGTCTATGCAAACATGACTCCTTGCAAAAAGGTGTCAGTTTTGTTGCCAGATAGAAGGGTAAAGAACCAATTATCAATGTAAATCATCTCATCTTGCTTGGCAAGTGCCCCGCTAGCCAGCAGAGACATCAGAGAAAGGGAAAACCCTGGACTCGCAACATCCAGCTGCTTTGAAGTTGGAAAGGGGGAGGGAGGGTTCGATCATCAGGACTGCACAAGCACCAACTTGTCATGCCAGTCCGCTCCACGGTCAAACAAAATAAAAATAAAACCTTCCCATCCCCACCCGGTCTATTAGCAGCTTCCACTTTGATCACTTTAGACCTTTGTCTCAGCTGTCCCGGGCACAATGGAGAGGTGCATTTGGCGCAGCAAACGTTATTGCTTCTTGGAAGCGAATTGCTTTAGCAGAACAACGGGATACTTTTTGGTACCGGGGCACAGCCCCAGTGACGGTGCAGAGTGAACTTTTATTCAAACAGCAGTGGAGTTCGGCCAAACTGTTTTCGGTGCACTTAAAGCCAAGCGGGGAAAACTACGTATAATTTCACTACAAAGGATGTCTAATGGGCATCGCCTATATAATCACATCTGTGGTGCAACCACGTGTAACTGATGTGAACATGAATTTGCTGCACGCGTTATGCACTCCATGACGCGCGTGAAGTATGCAACTTCAATTGCTGCATTGCACAGACGTTACACGTATATTTCCCACTGCCGAATGAATGCCTATTCACGTTGAACTCACGCTGGCCATTCAGATATCCTTCGCCACTGACATTAGCTGTGGTCAGGAATCGAAGTCAGGTATTGGGGTTCATAGCGCAGTGCGCAAGCAATTGTACCGCGGTTCTTTATCCTGTGTTTTATTTTTAAGTTAACCGTGCGAAAACGTAACGCTATCCTCTGAAAGAGGAGCTTATGCCAACTCAATATCTTCAATGGAAAGTTCATACTGTCAACATTCCAATACTGTACCGTATACAATACACCTGAAAGTTGGAAATGCGCCCACAAAACCCTTATTCAAGATATAACCCCCATCTGTGTATGAGGGTTATTTGAATAACTTGTCTAATTTAATTAATGGAAAGCGATTCATTTCATCGGCTGAATGATACTTTTGTTGCTAAAGTATGGTCATTGCAGCCATGTGGTTTTCAGCATACGTTTAGTTATGTAAACATGTACGTCCAATTATTTAGATTGACTGAAAGTAAGGAAGTAAACCTTTGAAAAGATGTATTTGTGTTTACATCACTCTGCAGTTTAAGTCTGTCATCAAGTCATTTTTCATCAGGTTCTAATTGGAGCATATTCATCACCCATGCCGTGGCCAAATTCTCGTGTGTTTATTGAAAATTCCTTTTCGTTGGCAGCTTCTTATAAGAAATTCCAAAGCCTTTCTGTAATTTAATTTGTTTTAATTACTTGACTGGTTTTTAAATACTGATATCGTATCATTAACTGCATCAATTTCCCCAAGACCACTTCAGTGCGGCAAAAACGTTATAAATATAATGAAACGCACTCAAATTTTATGAAATTAGTATACATTTAATGTTATTGCTGTTGTAATTTATTATTTTCATTATAGACAAACCCTGTTTAGTGAACTCCTGCAAAATATTTCTCAATCAAACAACCCCCCTATGTATAACCACGCAACGTTGCCTGTATCAGAGTGACTTTCATGAAATATTCACCCTCCCTGCAACTTTTAAAGATGATGCTGTAGCCCATATGCTGTCGTATATAATGCCAATTATCACCCAAGGAAACCCTCGCGGATTTTGAGACTCTTGTCAGGAGGGTCCTGCATTGAGATGCGTGGCCAATTCCGTTCACGAGAACGGATGCATGTGAGAGGAAAGCGGAGATCCTGGACACAAAAATGCGCGGATATGATCGCGTGGCACTCTGCACTGCCATCTCCTGGCCATCTCGCAGTCCCATGCCTACAACACCTGGCAAGCCCTGGTAGCTAGGAACTGCATTTGCTAACTTTTTTTGCACCGTACGTAGCCAGCCGTGTTCATCGGATGTGCGGGGGAAGGACAACCAACGAAACACCCATCCAAGCACAAACCAGGCTCATCTTTTCTTATTCTTCTGTGATCTGACATGACAGGGTGCCTGTTGGTTGATTTAATCTTGCACACGCGTACATTGTACATACGCATGTCCTGTATTCGTTTACACTAATACGTGCATTTGTATGATGAGTAACGCAATAATGATGCAATGTGACTTATTAGGTATGGCCCATATGCCCTCTAAACACGGAATGCATATAATATACAACACATTTGACCTGTAGTAATGCGCATTAATTATTTCAAATACATCAGAAGCAGTATTATTTATTTTTATATATATATATATATCTATAGCTACAGGATATATAAAAACATATGTTTTGTGTTTGGCAATTAAATGGTCACGCCATTTAAATGGCGATTATACATGCATATACACACACACACATACAGACACATAATTTATGACTCTCACCAAATCACCTTGAATGTGTTGTGGGTGCGATAGAATGAGTCCATGACATATTGAGGTCTGCATGCATGTATGTATGTTGAACTTCTCTCGCAGCCAACCGTGCACATCGGAGATGACGGGGAAGGACAACGAACTTAACAAAAACAAGTGTTTCACAGCGCCCGATCTCCTGAAATATGGGAAGCGACAAGCCTGGCTGGTGCTTGAAAAGATGACCGCCATGCACAAACAGGTCGTCATGGGGCTGTTGGGGTTATGCGGTGAGCAACAGAGAGCAGGGCAGCAAATTCACTTGCCGTACTATAACTTGTATGCTCAATGTCTATGCGCACCGACTAGTGTTTTGAAGTATGGTAAAATGACCCCTATGACCCTCATAGCGTGGGAAGTCCTCTCATGCGTACATGTAAGAATAAGGTGCGCAGTTTTAATATTTTATCGTTGTATTATGTCCAGTGGCGAGTCCCATTGCAGCCGTGAGCTCTCGTCAGAAGAGCATGAACCACAGCGGTAACATGGAGGGCATTTGATAGGAATGTTTCAAGTTATCGTCTTGGTGACCCCAAAACCATTCTCCCATCCTGAGCCTTCAGCTAAAACAATACCGCGTCCATTGCTAAGAGGGCTGGGCACACGCCGAAACTTGTATTTGGCTTGGCGAGGAGAAAGAGGAGCAATTGCTGTGCTTGCATGGTTCAGAATAATAAACCACTGGGGGCAGCCATTTTGGTTTGCGTGCTCAGCCCGTGACAATGTCTCGTGCTTTGAGCTCCATTGTCAGAATTGTGCGCGAAAACGATTAATCATACCCAAATTGAAATAGCGACCGGCTTGCACAGGAAATCCTTGAACAAGACCCTAACCTTAAAGCCAAAACATTGTGAAAATTAGGAGGAAACACGCTTTTACAGGGGTCCGAATTGGGTTAAAGAAATAAAACAAAAATAATGAAAGCGCATGTGTAGTCAAGAGAACTCTATTGGGTACAGTAATTTTTTTTAAATGACATTATAAACAGCATTTCTTATGTATATCCTTTGGAAAATGGTCAAATTATGCCATCGCCAAAGAAAGCAATGAATGTAAACTATATTTTTTTTGCTTGCTGAACTCATTTCAGCCATTTTTCTTCTTTTAACGTTGAAAATATTTATTGGACATAAAACAGACTTTCATTTCAATGGGCTATTACAACAACAACAGCATACTTTACTGCACAATGTCTATATATTTAACAAGACGGCGCACAAAGCGTGTACGTATTTTTCTCCGCGTGCATTTTTTTTCACTCAATGCTTTACTGAAACATCAGCTCAATAACACTGCCTTTCTGACTGCCAGGCTTTTTTTTTACTGCGTCAAGCTCTGTTTAAATGAATGCCCAATCAAATGGCAGCCAACGTGCAATTCCAAACACCTATGACAGCGCTTAAAAAGTGTTTGAGGTTTTGCACGTTTCACTTAATAAGGTGGATTTTTTTATCGTATTGTTTTTGTCTGCGAATTTCATGTTTGCTGAGTCTTGGAGGAATGTATAAGAATATTACTTTCCAAATTACCCGTATATGGAGCGCAGAAATCATGTTCGCATGCAAGGTGCTGGGTATATTATTATATTACAGCATCCTGAAGTTGGACGATAATTGGAAAGGCCTTCATCCAGCAGTGGATTGACTACGATCGATTATGATGATTATCCATGCTAATTTCTCAACTATTAGTTGAATGATGTATATGCATCCTCAAATACTCTATGTAAATCTAACGCCATTGTTGTTGTGGGGTAGATTGATGGTACGGTGGTTCGTGCTCTGAACTATGAACCCAGTTACCAGGGTTCAATTCCAGGTCACAGCTACATTTCAGTAGTGATTGGTATTTGAACCTGTTCTGGTCCCTTCAACAACCCGTACTGGCCAATGTGGTGAAGTATGGTCGAACAATACCCATGACCGGCACAGTATGGTGTAAGCCTCCTTCCAGCATTGGATCGGAAAATGACTTAACGCTATTATTTATGATTAGCGCCATTGTACCACAGCCTACAGTTGCTTTCTTTGGAACAATGGATAGAATATTACACGTTAAACACGTGTGTAGTGACATAGAATGGGTCACTACGGCGTGAAATGCTGGTTACTGGTAGAAAGCGGGATCGTGGGTGTAATAGCCCGGTCTACCAGCAGGGCAGGTGAAGTGTGGCAGTGAAGGGCATTTGAGGATACAGCGGCCAGTCTGCCAGTAGGGCACGTGGTAGGCACGGATGTAGGGTAACGGTGACAGAGGGGACACGTGGGGCAGAGGCCAGAACCTTCTGGTAGGTTCCAGAAGGGGGCGTGGCCGAGGGCGGAGCCAGGCCACGCTGGGGAGGATAAAAGGGAGGCCCCGACGCTGGGTCGGGGCTGCTGCGGTTTGGGAATGGAACCTGTCACCTTCACAAGTCTTCGTCCACGTCTTCACCTCCTCGTCAGTGTGCTGGCTGTCCTGACCTATATACAGTATAGTTATCCCCTATACTGTGGAAAGTATGAAATAAACGTGTATGCCTCCTCCTATTAGTGCCTCTGAAGTGACTCACTGCACATGTACTATTATTTGTAATACATGATTTATTACAAATATTATAGGTATATTCCATATCAGTATCAGATTGTTTTTAATCAATTGATGGAAAACTTTAACAATATATGCTGATTATAAATTCCATGGGAAATATTATATATATATTATCATAAATAGTTATTGAGCACCAGCCCAAAGGCCCAACACGTTAAACGGCCAGCAGCAAACAGGACTCTCAAAGTTATAATCGATACGATTTAGCGCAATTATTGACTTCAGCAAGGTTACTTACAAGAGCTTGGGAAAAGAGACAAAGGGAGGGAATTCCAAAGTTGAGCCTAATGAGAGAACGAACAAGAGAGGGAAATGTTGTGACCTTCAGCGTGGTCGTTATACCAAAAACACACACATTAGAATTTGCATGAAAAGCAGCTGTGCATGCCTGAAGTGATGCGGACAGCCGGATCATCTGGTGATAAAATCCGTCCATTTGTTTGGGTGTGTACACTTTAATGATAGGCTCTTGCGGGTTGATGTCACCCGTCGATTACCCAAGCGACGGTGTCCTACTGACATGATGTTCGGCCGAGTAAAGAGCGCGGTGCATGAGAATGTTGTAATTACTAAGCTCAATGCGTAACCACAGTGGCGTTTGCAGCCAACGTATTGAGTCACTTTTAATTTGGCTGCTCCGCCAATGGTAAAGACAACTAAAACTACTCGCTGAAATATCTCCACTCGTTCACGAGACGACAAGATGAAATAGTCGTATTCTGCACACGGCTATGTGACGGCCATCAGCTCAGCAAAGCCGAAATTGTGGCAGCATATGGACAAGAAGGCAACTATCTACCAATGCCAGTCTTAATGAGGCCTAACAGGGCAGTCCAATTATGTGCATTAGGACAAGTAGGGCGTATGTGATGGCACAAAGTTAAGTTCTGTCATTAGGTAGCAATGTATATACTACAGCGACTCGTTGAACGAAGTTTGTACATGATATATTATGGACTTATTATTAGATTGAGAAGTAGGGATGGGAGCGTGAATGAACACTGGTTAGTACACTGTGCTGATCTGAGTTCGATTCCTGGCCATAGCTGACATCAGTGATGAGTGATATCTGAACCACCCATGGGTCCCTCCTGCACCAACCCAACGTTGACCATCACTTTTATCCGGTAACAAAATAAACAAGCCTTCACATATCCACCTTCCCATATCCGTTTCTCCACATACAACAATAAAAACAACACTTTTCTCAGACCACTCATCAGCCGCGCGGCCTTCTAGGAGTGCACAATTGCAAGAGCATTATTCTTTGGGTCTATCGGTAAAGTCACGTAGATAGGTACAAATTAAATGAAAAATAATAAGTAAAAAATAGACAAAAAAACTACGACGTTTCCATCACAACACAAGCGATCGTCATCAGGAGGAAAGAGGGGGAAAGCTGTTGACTTAAAAAAAAATCTTTCATCCTCTTTCCTCCTGATGACGTCGTCGTTTTATTTTATATTTAAATTTTTTTCTTACATTTTTTTCTATCTACATGACTTTACCGAAAGACCCAAAGAATATTAATTCCTGCAGTCACAAAAGCTTGACGTCAAAATGCAAAGAGCATTGTTTCAAACTCTGGACCGGTTCTGACATACAGTGTCTCATCAGCAGAGTCAGGCTTTCTCAAATCACTGCTGGTGATTGGCAGGGGAAGATGTAAAGCCAGAGATGAGGGTGATACTGTAAGAATGAAAGAAATAAGAGATTGCAATATGTGGTGGCATCAGCAGCAATGGCCGCAGTGTCTCCTTGACCTACAAAGAGGCGACAACAGTAGATGAAGGCATTCGTTTAAGACAACAGTGGCTCTCATGATAAACGAACCCAGTCTCCTGAACATTGGTCTTCTTGCCCTTCCATCCACACCAAGTCGAAGGGGGCAGCAGCAAATGCGGTTCATAAATGTGGCACCATTGAACATCGTTCTCGATGATTCTTTGACTTATACATTTTTAAACCTGATGAGAAAAAGAACATGTTTGCAAGGACAGTAACCCCCCCCCCCCCCCCATAAAGAATAACACAGTAATGCACTGTATTCCCGAACAGACACACATTGCACTGACTGAAGTGTCAACCTGCCGGCATGGGGATAATCGTTTCAAATCTGAATGGCAGAAAATTATTCCAGGCCTGAGCGGGAGCCAATTTCCAAAGTGGAAAGCTGTAGAAGAGACAACATTCTTTCCTTCGCATGATAGAAAATGAGAAGACTCTTCCCCCCACTCACACACTCCCACATATGCAGCACAGAATTCAAACAACACGGCAAGCTGTCGGCCGTGGATGTAAACTGCTGAGACGCATGGAAAGTATTTTCTTCCGCGTGAAGCTTTGGAATTATTCACCGTCAAACCAATGCGAACAACTAAATCAAGCGTCGACTTTCATTTGAGAGTACATATTCACTTGAAGCTACCGTGTGTTCACAAGACTGGTGTGTAAACCCAGCAATGAAGGGCCCTGCCTGAGACAATTTTGCTTGGACGCGTAAGCAAACACAAAGTTTGGCAACAGGCAGTGTGGCCC